GGAGTAAGAGGGACCAAAAAATTCATTCATTTTGACCGTAACTTTTCACGAGAGAAAACAGCGGAGAGAGAGGAGAGCGAGAGCGATGGTTTCCTCACCGGTTAAACGCCTCCATCGCCCGCGTTTACCGGCGAGTCGCAAGAGACGCACCCCACCACTCGGAGAAAGCACGACCTGGGATAGTTTTCCATCGGTTAATCGCACCAAACCAAGAACAACCGAGCTTGATTTTGAACGGATCTTCGAGGGTGACGTACTCTAAACCTTAAATTAATAGTTTGATTCAATTGTATTGTGTTTCTAGTTCAAGATCTGAGATTGATTCGTGATTTTCAATTGGTTTGTGTCTGGTATATTGAGATTTGGTTCTAAGCTTTCCTAGCCCTGTTGTGTGTTCGATTTCTCCATTATTTGTGTGGTTTGAATCTGAGTTTGCAATTATATTAGTCAAAAATGTTGTTTGAATAAATTCAGATGGATATTCTCTACTCTGATATGAATAGAAATGTGTAGGTTTGCATTACTTGGTTTGATGTGTGGGTTTTGAAGCAAATCCTTTACCACTGAAATTCATAAACTTATTTTCTAGAAGTATGAATTGAAATAAGAAAATCTATGTGTGAGTCTGAATTACTACTGAGTTTTTGTGCATTGGCATTGGTGGTTTTCTTGCTGCATTTTGGTTTTAATTTAGCATCAGAAGACAATAAGTTTTTTTATTACTTTGGCAATTTATTGCAAATTTGGTTGTATTACTGGGCTTGATCTTTGGAGAGTCCACACAAATTGATGGTTGGTATTGCGTAGAGCATCCTTGGATATGCTTGAGCTTTTTAGGGTCAAAGTATCTACTATTATTATCAATGGTTAGTTAGGTATTTTACACGTGGTTTGGTTGATGTTGGTCTTTGAATTTTCGGAGGGCTTTGGTTCGGTCCTCCCCTTTTGCTTTTTATTTACTTTTGTTGAAAAGTATATTAATAAGCATTTTTATTAATGATTTAAAGATTTTGATTGATGAGACATTTTTAGACCACTATAAATAAGTTTTTTTTTGAAATTGTTTGTAGATGGGCAACGTAAGGGAAACAAGAGACAAAAACAAACTCAAAGGAGAATAGAGACCTACGAAAATATTATGTCAGCGTGGCACAAGGTATTTTTGATAGTTTGATAATAAAATTCTTGTTTAGTTTTCTTTAGGATACAAGTGTGTATGTAGAATGTGATAGTAGTAATTAGTTTTCAAACAGAAAGTAATCTTGTTTTGGCCTATTATGAAAGGTAGTCCTCTGATTTTTTTTCTTGTGATGGAAGTGAATTTCCTTGTTCTTGTGCTAGTTTTTATGTATTACTCGTAATTATTTTTCTCCATTTTAAATTATTGGCATATGCATTCAATGGACATATTTTAATTAAAATGTTTTTGTTTATTTACATACAGGATAGCGATGATAGCGAGTGTGATGATTTCAAGAAAAAATATGAACAAGAAATATATGTTAGTGCGGAGCAGAAAAATATGTTAGTGCAGAACAGGATAGGGTGGAGCAGAGATTGTTTGGAGATCGTTTCCCCCGTAGAGGACGGAGCTCATGGCGATGGAAGTACACCGATATGTTAGTTAATAGTTTAAATTTTTAATGTACAATAATACATATTATTATTGAGATGTTTGAAAAGTACATGAAGTTTTATTTTGTTTATAGAAAATGTTGAAATTCTTGTTTTGCGGAATACATGTGTTTGAGTATGTTTGAGTATCCCCGCTACATTTGATAGTTAAGTTGGTATGAAATTGAGCATGCACGTAGTACACCGTGGTTCTTTTCAACTTCTCCAACGGAACAACCCGTTGCACTCAAGATGTTACTATTTTTATGGAAATCTTAGCAATGAAAAATTTGTTGCATTTTTCTGATGCAATATTTTGCAACGGAAAAAAGAGTTGCACAATTTCGTTGCATTATGTTGCAACTAAATTTCCATTGCAAACATTAGCAGTGACATTTCCGTTGCAATTCTTCTGTAGCAAAATTCTGCAACAATAAATTTTGTTGCAAATTTCCGATGCAATGCTCTGCAACGGAAAATCTGTTGCAATCAGCATCAGCAACGGAATAATACAAAAATTGCAACAGAAATTGCTGTTGCAATTCAGCATCAGCAACGGAATATATATTTTTTAATGAATTCATTTATAACCAATATGAATCTTTATAATGATACACGAAGTATCTTCATTTCACAAAACTAAAGTTTATTGAAAATTAGAATTCTTTTAAATCAATGAAACAAATTAAATAGCTAAAAAAATACCTTTACTGGGTGACAATTTTTTTGTTGAAGCACTTCCTTTTTTCGCGTTCTCGCTTCTTTTTGGCAATAACCATCTTTCGTTACATTACTTTTACATTGTAGCTATCAAAGCAGGGGAGTAACAAAAACTTGTATACGGTTAGACGAAGAAAATAGGCAAGAGTGTCCTGTATTTATATGTAAATCTTGAAGTAGATGTCAAAATAAGAAGCTTTTACATTTGTTAAGAATAATTTTAAATAGTAATTGAATTAATAATGACTGATAGTTTGTTTAATATCAATTTTAAAAATGTAAAACATAATATAAGAAGTCAAACATAATGATTAGTCTATAAAATTATAGAAAGTAAGAATGAATTAGAAGAAATTTTACTTATTTTAGAATCTAGAAAATATATTTACCTGCGGATTTTACTTTTATATAAAATTCAAAAAGAATTTAGTTTCTTCTTACATCGTTTATTTTTTGGTGAAGTCAAGTTGTTAGTGGATTTTTTCAATAGTGTAGAAGTATTTGAAAAACAATGTTAACCTCAAAGAGGTTAAAATTTGAAGTGTGCATGAATACTTTTTATCATTTGTTTTTCTTTTAATAAAAACAAGCCATGTGCTATGTAATAAACATTGCATTGGATATATAATTTTTTTTGCCTTTTAACCTTCGTGGTATAGACACGTATATATAATTTCTTACATCAATTAATCGGCATTTTTTTTATTTTTAGCGTAGTCAAATTGTTAGTGAGTTTTATTTTTGCATTCTAATATTGAAAAGACATGTGTTAAATAATAAAAATAGATTATTTACCAATTTATAATTTTTTGTCTTTTAATATATGCAGTATATATTTTATTTTTAAGAAATATTTAAAAATCGAGGTTACATTATTTTGTTTTTAGGAAAAAAGTATTTGAATACCATTTATTCATCTCTTTCAAATAATTTTCACATACATATTTCTTTTTATCTTTAATATGAATTCTTTTGGCCAATTTCGCAGAAGAAGGAACAGAGAAAATCTGATCTTGCGCGAAGGCAAAACATAAAAAATCCATAGAAGTCAATGATGACTCAATGATGACATGACTCTTGAGGTGTTTAAAAAATATTCAGTTAACGTGTCAAATGTCGTCATTTCAGAAGCTCAACTCTCAAATCATATAAAAACTGAGCACCTCAATTTTTATTTTTATTATTAATATTACTATTATTACTATTATTATTATTTCTATTATTATTATTATTATCAATTTCTATTATTATTGCTATTACTATTATTACTATTACTATTATTATCATGACTATAATTATTATTACTATTTTTATTACAATTATGACTACCACTATTATTATTATTAATTTTATTATTACTATTATTATTATGATTATTGTTAATATTATTATTATTATCATTGTTACTATTATTATTATTTCTATTATTATTATTATTATTATTATTTCTATTATCATTGTTATGACTGTTATTATTAGTATTTTTATTATGGAGTATTATAGTTATTATTATAATTACTATTATTATTATTATTTTTATTATTATGATTAGTGCTTTTATTATCAATATTTCTAAAATTACTATAAGTACTATTTTTATTATTAATAATATTTCTATTGTTATTATTATTATACGGAGTAACTATTATAATAAAAATTTTAATTGCCTGTAACGCTAGCGTCCAGAAAGATGATAGGTTCCCAGTTCCCACCCGCCGTACCGGTTCCTGAATCCGGCTCTGGAACTAGGGATTAGGAAGGCGTGCTTCTAGTTTGAAGTATCGGCCACGGGGGTCATAATTAGGGCAAGATATACATCCCACTTCATAGTCTGGAAATCGGATTCAGCAATCGCAAGGAGATATGGGGGCGCCGCAGCCATGGCCGAACGGCTCAGTTAAGAATCACCGTGAATTAAGCCACCGCCGAACCAAGTCCGAGGTATGACCGCTTCTCTCTGGTCCATTGTAAATAGATACGGAGTAGATTGTTATTCATGCTAGGCAGTTTTGTGTAATACATACATATCTTAGTTGCATCATATGGTCCTCTCAGATGTTTCTTTTGGATAGAAGAACATGAAATCATGAACCAACAGGGTCATACGGGGCTGGAGTCACCTCCTCAATAAATCTTTTTTTTCATATTTTTTTCCCTTGTGTAGAGTAGAATGTGATGCAGCACTTGACTTTTGTGAATGCTCATTAGGATTCATATGCTGAAAATCCAAGCTTAGTTGTCATTTATCAAGTCTCTAACACAATGTTCACTTCAAGAAATTTGGCAGAGGAAAAAGAGGGGAACCTTTTTCTTCCTCATTTGTCTAATGAAAGATACTCTAGTATACTTGAGGAAAGAGCACAATATTCTTATTTAGTTTCTATTTTCTTTCAACTATTAATGATTTCATTGTTGGAGGGGTTATGTTTGTTCAAGATTTCTGCAGTGACATCGGTCTCTATTTGTAAGTTCTTGCATAGATTACATCCCTCACCATTCTCTATCTCACTATCTGTAAGTCATTGACTTTATTCCAGGGAACTTTATTTCTGGAGATCCACCCTGGGCATAGACATTTGTTCCAAGCGCTACCCCTCGAAAAAAGGAAATTGTTAGGAAAGCTGAATTTGGATGATACCCAGGGTCTACCTACTAAAAAGAGAAAAATAATCCGTGGGTTGAATGGGATTACGCAGAGTCCATCTTCCATTGGTGAAACTAATGACCTGAAACCAAGTGAGTGCTTGTGGCTAGGACTTCTTTGTGCAACTATTCTTACATGTCATCATCTAATTTAAGAAGCACAAACATCAATTTTCGGTTTTATTTTGTACAAAGTACATTCGCTGAAAAAGCTACTCTGCCGATCATATTTTTATGTCTATGTTTATGTTTACGGTTACGGTTATGGTTAAGCGTATGCGTATGCGTATGCGTATGCATATGTATATGTATATGTATATGTATATGTATATGTATATGTATATGGATATGGATATGGATATGTATATGTACATGTACATGTACATGTACATGTACATGTATACGTAGACGTAGACGTAGACGTAGACGTAGACGTAGACGTAGTTGTAGTTGTAGTTGTAGTTGTAGTTGTACATGCACATGCACATGCACGTACATGCACATATGCACATGTACATGTACATGTACATGCACATGTACATGTAGATGCATATGCATATGCATATGCATATGTACTCCCTCCGCCGAACAATAAACTTCTCATTTGGAAGAATGTGCAAAATCTCAACTTTTTTGAAATTATTTTATTTACAAATTGGTATACCATAAAATAGTGCAAATTACATTATTCAAAACTACATTAAAAGTTATATAGAACAATATATGACAACAATATTTTATCTTATCAAATGATTGATGAAATTGTGCAAACAAACATAAGTTAACCGAGAAGTTTATTGTTGGACGGAGGGAGTATGTGTGTGTGTGTGTATATATATATATATCAATTTATCTAATGGGTTCCATGTAAAATTTATATTATTGGATTGATTGCCAATTTCAAATGTAGCTTTTTGTGCTTGTGAAACACTAATAAACTTTATTGGTTGGTTATCATGAACACCGTCTAGGGTGGACTGTTTTTAGGTTGTTGATTCCCACAATGGATGATGAAGCTAACCATTACAATCGTTACCTGAAGCCAAATTTTGATAGGAAAGATGTTGAAGTGGATTTCCATTCTGCAGCTGGAGTCGGAGTGGTAAGTAAAGCCTGAATTATATTTGACATCTTTCTATGACATATTTATGTTTATGGTTGTTTTATTGAATTCTTTAGGATTGTGTGGGTAGTGGATTGTGAGGAGGGTGATGTGGGAATAGAGTGATATACTTTTATGATTGGTCTCTCTGTGTACGCCACCTATTTCTAGTCTTTGTAAATTACTACTTTCAGTTTTAGTAGTGTTCACCCTTGAAGATTAAACTTCCTAGACAGTCTTTGGTGTCCTGCTAAGCCTACTTTTTTTATTCAAGCTTTTATAAAATTCTTGTTTAGTTTTCTTTATCATACTGTTGTTGATGTAGAATGTTATAGTAGTGATTGTTTTTTAAAATGGAAAATATTCTCTTTTTGGCTTATTTTGAAAGATTGCTCTTTGATGTTTTGGGAGTGGAATAGTGGATTTCCACTCTCCAGTCTCAAATCGAATTGTTTTGATCCCCCACATGTCTTTGGTCTTCAGTTGGCTTTACATGTCTTGACTTTGTCCCACTCTTTTGAATTATTTTTGTGGTTTTAATCCATTTTTGTGTCAAGAGTCAAGACCTCCCATCGTAGATACAGTTCATCTATATTGCAAGGACTTATTTATGCTTCAAGCTATAAATGTCACACAGATATATTCACAATACAACTACAACAACAAACCTTGTAAAGTCCCACCGAAGTGGGGTTCGGGTTGGGTGTTTACGCAAACCTTGCCCCACCCAAAAGCTAAGACTGTTTCCTAGAGTCCCCGACTAAGAAAAGAAGCATAGATTAAAAGAAAAATACTAGTAAATATTCACAATACTAATATGGGTATATAATAATATGGTAACATCGATGGTCGATCTTCATTTTGTCTTTGGATCCTTCAATGTTTGATAGGCGGCTAAATTCCTTGTCTCCATGATTTTCTTTTGCCCCTTGGCAGCATCTGGGAAACCCACCAGATTTTGTTTGGGCTCATTCCTGTGTCATGCTCAACACATGTTCTTTTAAATGATTACAGAATAGACTGTGTTTAAAGGATACATTGTTTCAACACTGAAAATATTTCTGAGCAAACCTTATATCCTCCTGCATCCAGTGCCATAACGTGCCTTTCAAAAGTCATGTTTCTTCTCAAGATTGGTAATGATTTCACGCTTTTTATAATTGTTGAGCTTGTCCTACATCTTTGTCAATCTTTCATGGTAGTTGAGTGTTCTGCTTGCAACATCTAAGCTCTGCATGTAGCCGCTGCATGTGCATTCAATTACTGATCGAGTCTTTCGCTGATGCCATCCCATATAAGCTTGGCACCTCAACTTGTCTTTTAAAGGAATATAGGGCCTATCAGGATGAGATTCACTGTCTACCTATCTTCTAGTTATTTACTTGTTCTAGATTTCCGTCACTAAAGAAAAAATTTCGTTTCACAGAAACAAAGAGTGGGTGTGCTCAAAGAGTGATTCGCATTGCACGAGCCCACTCTTCATAACAATTGCCCATCACTCTGACCTAGGTGATACATCCCCGATTGAATTCTTCTGACATGATATTCTCTTCCTTCTTGTTAGCTTTATCGTGGGTGGTACTGGCACCACAACTGATGTTCCCATTGGTCTCGGTTGCCTACGGTGGTGCAGCCCACAAGGTCTTCTGGTTGAAGAAGACTAAAGATCTTATGCTAATTGTAGGTGGTGGATATTCTGTTTTAAAGTTTATTGTTTTGATCCCCACCCATCCCTTCATCTTTCAGGATCTTCAGTTGGTTTTATGTTTCGTTATTCTTTTCCTATTTTCTTTTTGAGGTATTGCTTGGTTTAAATCCACTTTTGCATAAAAAAGTTCCCATCCCAAACACAGTTTCACCATATTTGCAGTGGCATGTTGCAGAGCAAGGTTGGTATAAATCACGATTCACTCTACCTACGTGCAATCTAGATCGTTAAAAATTTCTAGGCACTTCTTGGATTGTCAAATTTGAAGCTAGAATCGTGGGAATCGGCGAGCGGTTCGATCTTACGTATCAGATTGAAAATTCTTTTAATTGACACATCGTTTATAAAATTTAAGAGGGAAAAATTCAATTTCAAAAAAGAGGAGAAAGAGTCACAATAGGCACTCGTACTCTCCTCTCTGCTTCGAACATAAATCTGTGTCGCCTCTCTTTGAGTTTACATCTTTTTTTCCCATTGTTGAAAAAGTTTCCCAGTCTCCTCTGTTTTGTAATTTTTTTTAAAGTTTTGGAGTTGTTTTTATTTGGATGTATTGAAATTATGATTACTTTTATCCATTTGCATGTTATGATTATGATTTATGGGTATTATTTTTTAAGTATGCACATATTAAACAATAGCTGCTAGGATCTTACTATTGGAGTTACGATTCTCAATTTCTGATCCTCTGATCATCAACTGAGCCTAGCTAGGATCTCGAGCTTAACAACCTTGCTGCACGGACCTATCTTTTCTTTAAGCTATAAATGTCACAGTCCTATGAATCTTCAAGCTATAGATGCCATACATACAATCCCAATATCTAATCATGGATATGTATAACCTCAATTTTTTGGTCCGCTGTTTTTAAACAACTGATATCATCGAGTTTCATTGTTATTGGAGAAAATGGAATGAACATATTTTTATTACTGTTCCGGTTGTGTGTGATACTCCGTAGCATCTAAAATTATACTGCACAGGTTATGGTATCAGCGAAAAGGGACTCTATTCTCTGTAGACGCTCCATCAATCATGCTGTTAATGTTTTTAAAGAGGTTCACCGATGTTTTCTGCGCACCATTCCTTTGGAGTGCTTAACAAGGCTACTTGTACCAGCTGCACATGCAAAAAGTTTGATTATTCTGAACACAATCAAATCTTGTCCGTGGAGACTCACAATCTATCTAACAGGTGTGTCATTAACTGGCTTGGCATGTTATTATTAATTTTGCTTGTTATTATTCTAACTATCAATTGCTTTATTTTTTTAATTGTTGGCATACTCTATGTAGATAACATGCCAGTTTTTTTCCCTGGTGATGTGATTGTTGATGTGGAAGTGAATTTTCCTCTCCCTGGGGATGTACTTAATCACATGGAATCAGTTGTTTCTGATTTGGGAGAGCTTGCAATTGATGACTGCATGAAGTCAAAGTTTAAATCTGGAGTAAGAGCGAATGCAAAGATCTATTTATAGTTGATTATATCCAATTGCCTATAGTAATCCATGTTTTTTGAATTTTGATGCATGTGGATACTGCACAGAAAAACATTCGCCCATCATATCGTGAAATATCTGCACCTGGAAAATCATCTTCAAAAGTGAAACCTCGAAGAGAATATGCGGTTAGTTATGTGATGTCTTCATTTAGTTTACTATTACTACCCCGGGTGGTAGCATTTGTAGTAGTAGTAGTAGTATGTTCCATGCCATCCTTTTGTGCATCTCCCCATTCCATGTATTTGGTTTTAATCTCTATTTCCACTGCCTTTGCTCGTCCTGCAGATTTGGCAGTTCAGACGAATTCCTCTGTCGTATATTGATCATATCATTGGCGAAGATGGTGCAAATCTTGAGAAGATCTGGAAATCAAGTCCGGCCTCTGTTTACTTGGAGACGGCTACTGCTAAAGAGGTTGTTATTTCTATTCTTGGTGAATCGTATAAAGAGATTAAGGCTGCGAAGGAAGTGATGGAGGTACATTATTTTATCTTTATTGTCCTCTTCAACTCTCTCTGTGTCTCTTTGTCTCTATCATCTATTATCCCCCATGTGAGATACCTCTTTTAGTATGAGATGAACTCCTTAGAACTAGAAAACAGGTGGTTTATGGCTAGTGTTATCTATTTGTTTATTTGCAGGAATTAATTCCGGATGACAAAAAGATAGACGAAGAGGGGGGGCGTGTTTTTGAAGGAATGTTTGAGGTTGAGGGAGGGTGTACTTCATATGGAGATGCCGAATCGCCTACTATTTGATGCTTAGTGTTATGCCAACACCGCCACACTAAGCTATGGAGTTGAGTATTTATAAGATGCAGATATATCCGCTAGTCGATGGATACATATATCTTATCAAGATCCATGGTAAGAACTATATTTAAATTAGTAAATTCGATATTCAATGGAGTTAATTATATGCAGATATGATAATTCAACATTCCTATATGGCTATAATTTATAAGATTATTCATAGGTTTACAATACTAAAAAAATTCAATATTTTTATTACTCTTCCGATAACATTTGTCAACTAGTTTATCAAATGTGTTTTAAAATCAAAATGTGTTATAAATATAAATCTATTACGGAGTACAAAGATTTTTCTTCCGCCTTCACCCTAGTATAAAGACTTGGCACAAATCACTCATGAGAATATGAGTTTGCACAAATTGGCATTGAATGTTGTATAGAAAAACAATTTAAGCGAGATGTGTTTTAATAATATGCATATATTGAACCAATGGCAGTTTTTTTTAATTACTTTTTGTTGTTTCGTACTCATTTTTTTACATTAAATATTATGGAGCATTATGCATGAACTCGGGTCCGGTTTTGGGTTGGTTGGGTTGTAAATTCCAAAATTCAAACTTGACTCGTTTAATTTAATATTTTTTTGTTTGAGTTTGGGCGAAATTCTTTCGACTTGGGATAGGGTAATATATTTTGGTTTGAGTTCAAATATTTTTAGATCTAAAAAAGGTCAGATTCAGATAGGATTGTCATCCCTAGTAGTGTGTGAAATTGGATCTTGAACCAAGTCATTTTGATTGGCATATGTCAGTACCTCTTGGACTTTTTTCGAGTAGGTAGGACACTGGACTAGACTTCTTTTATCTATATACACCATTACTTCCGAGGACCTCTACCCATTATGGTTGAAATTGGCAGTGAGGTGGGGTAGTTCGAGGACTTGAGTATATAGTATCCCTCGACTAGAGAGGGCAATCGGGTCAACCGAATTGATTTCGGATTGAATTTTTCAGTTCGAGTCAGGTCAGATACGGTTCAGATAGATTTTGATTTAGATACAATTTGAATTAGATATAGGGAGATGGACCAAAATAGGAGCAAAAGAGATGTCATATCCCAAAATAGGAGTTAAAACTTAAACTCCCCTAAATAGAAGTAATTAGTTTGACAATGACTCTAATTTTTAAACTCCAAAAACTAAATCCCAATAGAAGCTCCTTATTCGTACACATTTCAATCTCAACAAATTAAAAGTCACCTCATGCATGAATTTGAAATCTTTCGTTTCCAATTAGGATCTCCACTGCCCCTAGCTCTTTCAAGCAATTTCCTCTTTATTTAATTATTTTTTTAAAATGATAAATTTTAATACCGTTTTACACACTCAGCTCATACACTCCAAGCCTCTAAATCTGCAACTCTAGAAATTAGAAAAAATTTAGCAATGTCAAAATTTTAATTTAATTTATTTTAACATCTCATCATTTGCTTAGAACACTCTAGCGCCTCTTCAACTCTTTCATGGAAACATAATGTTGTAACATAATGACCATGTGGACATTGTCCTTACTTTAACAAGTAGTTCCATAAATTGTTGCCCAAATCAATCGTATGATTATTAAAGAAAAACTTTCCACACTGCCTGTTGTTGGCAAGAACTCTTGTTCGGTTATCTTGATTTACAGTAAATTGTTATTCAATCATTAATAAAGGTGAATCGACAAAAAAAATAATAAATTTGAATGTAAACAAAACTAATTCAATAACAAAACACACCCAAAACTTCATCAACAAAAATGAATCAATACCCTACATATTATATATAGAATCGTAGTAAATTACTACATTAAATGTCCATACAGTGTAAAAAAAGACCACATTAAATGTCACATGTAATCATATAATGACAATCATGTCAATATATAAAGTCATATATGTCAATGCATAATGCGAAACAAATTAAATTGATAATGTCAACCTTGACATTGTATAATGTCGTCATTCTTGATAATGTACAATAAAAGATAAGTCAATGTATAATGTTATACTCCGTATATCACAAATGTTAATGCATGATGTCAAAAAGGGATAAATGTCAAGTAACTCTACTATTTGCCATTAGTTTTGTTTAATGATTATTGGGAGTCCAATCTTACAGTATGATATATTACATTTTTTAACACAAAACTTCTCCCCTTAACATCATTTAATGTATAATGGTTTTTTTGACATTTTGCATGGTGCCGAGAATTTTTCTGCCATTTTTCTCCAAATTTATGGTAGCTAATTTGTGTTTAATTATTGTTATAATGTTTTTGGACACATATGTCAAGGAAAAATATTTGATGGTGATACATCAATCTCCGAATCCCCTTTCTATGTTGCTCTCAGTGCTCTTCAACATCGATTGAAGTATGATTTCTTCCTAACTTGGTTTATGCGGCCAGAATTAAGCAGAACACATATTTAATTAAACACTCCTATTAAGGAGTGTTTAAGTTTGAGCTCCTACTTTGAGGATATGATCTAATTTTTACTCCTATTTAGGGGGTTTTCTTTTAGAGGTATTTCGGTTTTGGATCTAGTTCGGTTTGACTATATATTTCGGTTTCGGATATATTTCAATTTCAGATATGTTTCAGTTCAATTATATTTCAGTCAAGTATATTTTAGATATATATTATTTTCTAAATCTATGTTTTTCTTATGTTTTATGACATTTATCAATCTATCATCAATTCAACACTTCATATTATTTAAAAAAAATCTAATTATATTATCTCTACCCTAAATAATCTTCTTTTTCTACATTTTAGTCATATTTTACAAATTTGGGCTACAAATTATTTAAAAAATATGTGTTTAATTATGATATAAATTTAATATAATTAGATTGATATACCAAAATTTTCTCACATCTACTAATATATTTATGTTTATAAATGAAAAGATAACAGATAAATTCAAATAGTGTTATGTTCCAATTGAATACAATTTGGTAAAAATGGAGTGAAATTGGGTAAAATTAAGTGAATTTTATTCAGTTGACTGCAAAATTTATACTCCTAAATGTATTTGGTTGAAATTAAATAAAATTAAATAAAAATTATTTGAGTGTATTTGGTTGAAATTAAATAAAATTAAATTTAATAGAGTCAAATATAATTAATTTTACACCTAAATGTAATGATGTATATCAATTTTGGAAATGATAATACTAAATTTTGCCGCTAGAGAGCGTTTTCAAAACACTAACACTAAATCTAATGTTAATATGGTATTGACTAATATCAAGTGAATTGATTTGAAACTAATCAAATTAACTCTCAACAAATAAAATTTATTGTAATTTGATTAAATTATGATAAAATCTAGTGTTTCTATACAATTTCTCATATAATCTTTTCGTCCCAAAAAGAATATGACACTTTACTATTTAAAAATTACTGAAATTTTATTTGTTTGTGCATTATCATTTATTATTTGATAAAATTAACTATTATTCTTGTAACATCTTATTTTGTATAACTTTTGACTTATTTTTTCAAAATATGTAAACTTTTTTTTATTTCTATACCAATCTTTAAATAAAATATATTTTAAAAACTTAAAACTTTTTACTTTGTTTTGCGTTATGTAGCACTCTTTCGGAGATGGAAGGAGTTTTATCTTCAAAATAAGACTGTTTTAATTAGATTTTGTAACTTAAAACTGAAATTAGTAATTTATTTTTCATATAATATCTAATTAAAAATTTATTTTTTTATGTCAAATTTCCCACATAAAGCATAAGGTTTCCCCCATTTCTATTTACTTTACCTCCTTAATCTTATAAATTTTCTTACGCCACCAATCAACTTATTTTTGAGTTCCTACTTACCTTCAACTCTTAGACTTAAGGAAAAAAGACCAAAGTAGGACTAAAACTTTGAAAATATACCAAAATATGACTTCCATGTTTTTATTCCTGAATAGGACTTGCATTACAAACCATGGTCATATGCATTACCAAAAAACATAGAAATTTGCACATGTACACTGTCACATTACCACAATGCAAGATCATATTACCACAATATAAAGTCCTATTCTGGGAAAAAACATGAGAGTCCTATTTTGGTACTTTTATCTATGTTTTAGTCCTATATAGGATGATTTCTATAGACTTAATTTCTTTCAATTGATGCTTCACTTTGTTTTTTAAATATCTTACTCTATTTAATTCTGTTAATAACAAAATAGTTGCCTCAATTTATTCATCCAATATTTTATATGTATAACTTATCTTAAGTTTTTAAATATAATAAATTTAAGGCATGAGATTTTGTATTTTTTTTCAATATGGTAATTCACTTAGAGCATTCACAATAGCAAGTAAGAAATACAATGACAAACGGTGAATTGCCAAGCATGGCAAATCTCTTATTCTATGGTAATTTACTTAGGTTTCTTTTTCCAAAAAATAGTTATAATGCTTTATATGCTTTTATAAAATAATTTACATGTTAGAACAATTTATGTAACAACGAGTTTTTTCAGAATTTATGAAAAATTATGAATTGACTAACATGAGTTAATATGTGTTCGAACGCTGTTTGATATTCCCTAAGGTACAATAATAATAATAAAATAATGATATTAAATGATATAATCCTTATGCCATGCCGGATGTCGTTTGTCACGTCCACTACGTCTGGGCCTAGGCTCCTACGGAACTGGTGCGTATGGCCCAAGCCCTTCGTCCATGCTGGGTGACCCATTACCTGTATCAGAAACATAGATAGTTAAATTTTAATTAGAAATGATATATATCCAAACTATATTTGATACGAAACCGAAATATATCCGAACCGAACTAGACCCGAAACTGAAATGTATCCGACTCAAATTATATCCGAACCAAAATCCATCCGAACCAATTTATAACCGAACTGTATCTGAACCGATTCGAAACCGAACCAAACCGAAAAAATGTATCGAACTGAATCAAATCCGAACCGATATTTAACCGATCCGATTCAATCTGAACCGATTATAACATATAATCGAAATATATCCGAACTAAAAAAATCTAACTCGAAACCGATCAGGTTGACCCGATTGTACGGAGTAAATGTTAATACTCCCTAAAAATTAAAGATAAGTTATCTTGTTCCATGCTATTGTTAAATGGTACTCCGTAATACTCATTAGAAGTTTCGCGAGAAGGGAGAGAACAAAAGGTTGCATAGAAACGCAAGAAAGGGAACGAGAGGTGGTTTTAAATCAATCTCAGCTTGAATATCGGAAGTAAAGGAAATTCAGCAGAGACGATGATAAATATAGAAGAACCGGCGGCGCCGCTGCGCGGCCATGTTAGGAGTCCCTGTGAATTAGGTCACCGCCTTACCGATTCGGAGGTATTTTTTCTCTTCTCCCCTGTCTTATTATTATTATTACCGATTATTATTACTAGTATCACACCCGTGCGTTGCACGACCATGTATTAATACTGTGTATTAATAATTTAATATATGGAAAGTTTTATTACCTATTACCTATTTCAATACCGTGTTTTATTACCGTTTTAATAATAACAAAATTATAAAGTTTTATTACCTAATTACCTAATTACCTATTACTCCGTACCTAATATATTTTATTTTAAAATTTTAAAACACCGTGTATTAATACTGTGTATTAATACCATGTATTAGTACCGCGTATTAAATAAGTATAATAATGGAAAGTTTAGAATATAATTTCGTGTATTTTTTACCATTTAAAAAGTTTTATTACCTAATATATTTTAAAATTTTAAAATAGCAGCACGGTGCCATGCTATTAAATAAAAATAAAATTACAAAGTTTTAAATAAAAATATTAATACTGTGTATTAATACCATGTATTAGTACCGCGTATTAAATAAGTATAATAATGGAAAGTTTAGAATATAATTTCGTGAATGTAAACATGGTGCTTTTAATGTTTTGAAGCCTAGCTATCACATCATATTTTTTTTACTAATAATCTATTAATCACATCTTACTTTTATCAATCACATCAAGGGTATTTTTGGAAATTCAACACCAAAATATCCCTCCCTTAATTTTCCAAAAAGTCAATAAAGAAACTTCTTTTGGGATGGAGGCAGTAGAATATAAATATTTTATTATTTTAAGGTACAAAAGTTAATTGCTTTACAAATAACGAAAGACTTCTTTATAAACTACATTACTCGTATAATTTTTATATATCAAACTTTTAAAAATTTATTTATTTAAAGACTTCTTCATGATATTCTACTCCAAAAGCATGAATCTTATTTAAGAACTCAAGAGAGTGTAAGTCATTCAAAATATCGTATTTTTCTATTTCTATGCATCTAATTTTTTCTGGCTAAGTTATCAATTAGTAGTTGATTGTTCAACATATAAAAGTATATATTATTCAATATGTTTCCATGTATTAAAGGCACACCTCTTAAAACGATATCTCCATAAAACGTTTGGGCCTGGATCTTTAAATGAAAACATTATTTAATTGAAAGCTTATTTGGTTAGAATTATTACACGATAATAATAACTAAGTACGATAATATTATTACACAGTATATTATTATTATTATTCTTTCATGACAATAAATTAATAATGATTAAATACATTAATGTTATTGCACGATATATTAGTATTATTATTTTTTCTACACGGTAATACATAATTTATTTTTGTTACAAAGTAATTTATGATTTAATTACTATTTCTATATTCAACACTTAACATATGTGCCACCATTTCTATGTATTACTTTGACATTTTTTATATTTAATTTCTTTTATTATTTTTTATTTTGATTTTTTTAATTGTGCCTTCCTTAAATGCATAAACTTATATATTTAAATTTCTTCATAAAATATTTGGCACCGAATCTCTAAATGGAAACATAATTAAATTGAAAGCTTATTTTCTTAACAAAATGGTTTGTATGATTAAAATGGTTTGTTTCTTAATTGGANTTACTATTTCTATATTCAACACTTAACATATGTGCCACCATTTCTATGTATTACTTTGACATTTTTTATATTTAATTTCTTTTATTATTTTTTATTTTGATTTTTTTAATTGTGCCTTCCTTAAATGCATAAACTTATATATTTAAATTTCTTCATAAAATATTTGGCACCGAATCTCTAAATGGAAACATAATTAAATTGAAAGCTTATTTTCTTAACAAAATAGTTTGTATGATTTAAATGATTTGTTTCTTAATTGGAAATTATATAAATTACGAAACTGTAAATTTAATGCATTGATTAAAAAATTTATACCTTAACGTGATTATTACCTTTTATGGACATACAAATATTATTTTTAGTTGAATGGTAATCAATTTTTTTATTATATCAAATCCAATTTCATAAAAAAGTTCGGTATTAGAAAAGAAGTTTATATAAATAATATTTTTTATATTTTGTTTCCTTTTTAGAAATATACTCCGTATTAGGCATGCAAAATTTCCTTTAATTTATCATTCTAAATAAGAATATAGTAATTAAGTAAGTATGCATGTGAAATTATTCTAAAAAGGAAACAACGTAGATCTTGTTTGCGAAATTAGTCCCTTGCTTTTTTATCAAAATTAAGTAATTATGCATCCAAAATTTCCTTTAATTTATCATTCTATTATTCTTAAAAGTATTTTCTTTTAAAAGCCATTGCCAATTCTTTTAAATAATACTTCTATATATTATTTTAATTCTTTTAATTCTAAATAAAATTATTGGCAATGGCTTTTTTCTTTATATATAAAAAAGGAGAGTTGGAGTTCCAGAATTACGACATGTGGCATGCTCACTGGCCAATAGACATGTCATCAAGAACATTGGCTCAAAGTTTCCTTTAACTAATTTATGATACAATAATATAAATTATGTAACATAATAAATTTAGTGAAACATAACTATAGTATTGCATAAAATAAAATGATTAATGGGAAAAAAGAAAAGTTTCTTCTTTAACACACAAAATTTTATGTAAAATTTTTACCACAATATTTTGCTCGGATTCCAATTAAGCTTAAAAATCAATTGAAAAAAAAGAAAATTAAATCATATTTATAGAAAAATAAAAATAAATTGTAACAAATTTAAAAAAATTGATGATTTTTAACATTTAGTAATAACATTTTGATCTAATTATTATTATAATAAGTTTATTTAATATAAAATAAATATAATATTCCTTCAAAAATTATATTGACTACTGAACTTAAAACTAATAAAAGTTTATCTTCATTTACAGCCTAACTTATAATGATAGATAAGATACTTACTTCACCTCTATATACATTTCATATACATTTAATATAATACTTAAAAACTAGATCAAAAAATTTATTATTGAGTTTGACAATAATTTTTAGAAAGAAGAAAAAGTTGAACACAAATAGATGATCAGTTAATTTACAATATATTTTTTCAGTATAAATTTTAATTTAGTGCAGATTTAAAAAAGTAATTTTTTTAAGGAAAAATAGTAAAACTTTAATAATGATAAGTTTATGTTTAATATTATTCTCATACAAGCAGTGATGGGTAATAACCCATGGATACCATCCGGTTGGTTCGTCCGACTGGGTGGTGACGGAAGTGACAGAGCGCATCCTTCTCAGACCGGGTCGTGAAGCCGGTTGGGTAGTGCTCTTATGCAGCCGGTCAGACGAATGACCGGTTGGATAACCAGGGACGTGCTTGGCGTGCTTAGTTTTGTTATAAATACCCCTAAAACCCTCATTTGTGGGGTATGCTTTAATTAATCCACACGGCCTGTACTGATTGTAATAAGTTCCTACTTTCATTAATAACAAGCCGGGTTATAGGTGTTTCCACCTACAACCCTCCCGATTACTTATACTTAGCATTTGCGTGGTAATTTACACCATCAAATTGGTGCCATCCGTGGGACATGACTCAAAGGAAAGGGGAGGTGGCTATTGATTACTTCACTAAATGGATCGAGGCTGAGGCGATGGCCACCATAACCGTACGGCAGTGTGAGAAATTTGTTTGGAAAAACATTATCACCCGGTTTGGTGCCCCAAAATTCATTGTCACCGACAACGGTCCACAGTTTCGCAATCCCCGGTTCACTGCGTACCTTGCTAGCTTCGGGGTCAAGCACAGCAAAGCCTCGGTAGCATATCCACAGGGAAATGGCCAAGTCGAAAACGCTAACCGGACAATTGTGGACGATCTGAAAAAGAGGTTGGGTGAGGAAGGACACAAGTGGTTGGAAGCCTTACCTCACACAGTCTGGGCGCATAGAGTGACTTCAAGAAGAGCAACTGGAGAGACTCCTTTCGTGCTCACTTATGGATGCGAAGCCCGGTTACCAGTAGAAGCAGAAATCCCAACATTTAGGGAAACCGTATACCAGCCCGGTCAGAATGAGGTCGACCACCTGGCTGAACTAAATCTGGTGGAAGAACGAAGGACCATAGCAGCTGTCAAGATGGCCGGTTACCAGCAGTCGTTTAAGCGGTATCATGACAACCGGGTAGGACCGCGATACTTCCAAGTGCATGATGAAGTCTTGCGCAGAAGGGATGCTGGTACCGGGTAGAACCGCGATACTTCCAAATCGGTGTTTTGAATTATTGTTACGGAAACTGGTATTTAGTTATGAGAAAGTGTATGTTCCAGTTTAAAGAGTAATAAATCGCAATGGCTTGAAGATTCTGATATACAACGAAGTGAATACTTACACAAATTATACATACGAGTGATGTAGTTTATAAAGAAGTCTTTCGAAATTTGTAAATCATTTTACTTTTGTACTTTAAAATAATGAAATCTCTATATTCCATTATATACCAATTTATAATCTAAAAATGATCTTAAGTTAGTACCGTAACTATGACCCGTGCAACGCACTATTGTCATATTAGTACTCCGTAAAAATTAAAGATGAGTTATCTTGTTCCATGCTATTGTTAAATGGTCCTCCGTAATACTCATTAGAAGTTTCGCGAGAAGGGAGAGAACAAAAGGTTGCATAGAAACGCAAGAAAGGGAACGAGAGGTGGTTTTAAATCAATCTCAGCTTGAATATCGGAAGTAAAGGAAATTCAGCAGAGACGATGATAAATATAGAAGAACCGGCGGCGCCGCTGCGCGGCCATGTTAGGAGTCCCTGTGAATTAGGTCACCGCCTTACCGATTCGGAGGTATTTTTTCTCTTCTCCCCTGTCTTATTATTATTATTACCGATTATTATTATTACTATTATTATTCTCAATCCCTTTTCTATTTTTACTAGCTAGTTTTGTGTAATAAATATATCTGAGTTGAGGTGCAAGGTTCTTCGCATATGATCCATACGGATATAGTTCTACTCTGGTGTTTTCATTTTACATCTAGCTTTCCACTAGTTGTATAAACAGATTCATGTGAATTTTTTAGTTTTTTTAAAATGATGCACAGGTTCCATATCCGAAGAAAAGAGAATTATTCCAGGAGGAGTTGAATGTTGATACACATGGTCCATCAGCCAAAAGCAAGTCCCTCTCAGAGCCGAATGTTGCTACACCGGATCCACATGTCATTAGTAAATGCAATGACCTGACCCCAGGTATGGGTAGGATGCCAAACAAAGTTTACACATCACACATTTGACATTTCTGGGGAAGTGTATATACTCCCGTAGAATTTGATGTTACTCTTTCATAGATCATCCAGTCATCTTTATACAATTCCACAACACCCCAAACACCATTTAATATTACATTTCATAAAGAACAAGATCAACAAATATTTAAATATACGACTTTTATGTTTTCATATGGTATAGTTTCCGATTATTATAAAAATTATGAGGATGATTTGTGCGTTAGTAACTTTAAATCCTAAACAAAGAGAGAAACTATATCGGTGTCCTGCTTTATGTATATATATATAGATACACACACACACACACATGCATACCCTTGATGTTGCTGCCATGTGTAATTTGACACCAGTAGCTCACATTTACTTATCACTATGCACACGAGTAAAGATTATCAAAAGTTTGGGGAGCAAGTCCTGCATAACAGTGGAGTGTGATTTTTTTACTGATTTCCAATGGAATTGAAAGAGAATGATAGTGACAATCTTTTAGTTTCGTGCACATAATGGACTAAATAAAAGAATGCTTCAAATGGAAACGTGTTTTTACAGTGATAAGACTATGTGCGTCTTGACCCATCGTCCCATCAGACCCTAATGGAATGGATTTGGGATCATACTATCATACTATGTTGTTGTTGTTGTTGTTTTAAGTGTCCAATAACAATAATGTACTCATTAACGTCCCACAAGGTTTGAGCTTGGAGGTGGGTGGGTGAGAGGGAGATGCTATACATACCCTAAGTTGCATGTAGACGAGGATGAGTGCTCATACAGAGATGGGAGGTTGGGACGTCCCCAAGTACTAAAATGGGGACATTTTGGGTATGGCAAATGGAACATATTTGAAGAATTTGTGCAATACAGCATCAACCTTATCTCTAACTAGAATAAGTGGATAGGTTATTTCCAAAGGGCATAAAACACAAGTTAGTATAATCCAGCAAGTTTAGGTAATCACAGAAGAAGGGGGAGAGACAAGGTATCAGTAACAAAAGGATCACTGAGCCAACACCACACCAAATTCAACCTAACCCGTACGCCCTAAGTGCACAAAGAACTATTCTTATCTGTGTCTATCTTACTATTTTAACATACAAGGAACTACTATCATTGTTATGCGGTTATTCCTAAAACCCGCGCAAGCAGTTTTTAGGTTCTTTTCGTTAAGAATCTATTTATAGCACCTATTTTTGACTTTTTTAAATAACAATATCCGTTCTGAACTCTGGATATCACTAACCATGGTCCATGGGTCTTTTTTTATTTGTATGCTCTCCATATGTGTGATGCATAATTCCCAGAATCTTGAGAACTTAAGGTTGAAGGACTACATTGCTTGCTCTTCTTATTTCCATGAAATTGATATATACTTCATCTGCTTCATCATTATCACAACGGTCTAAACTTAACATATTTTATACACACACATTGACTATCCTTTGTGACCGTTATGTACATGAAAATATAGCCATATCGGATCTTTTTAGATTTGTCTCTGTAAATACTTCCATAATTTTAATGATCAATCTTTTATTGTTTTTACTTAAATGTATTTCAAGATATTAACGATTTATTTTGTGATTTGCAAATGTGAATGAGCAAGTGTTGTGATTCTTTTGCAACAGATCAAGTATTTTTTCTTAATGCCTCTAATAGGTTCATTTCTTTTATGATTTATAAACCTTTGCAAACTTCAAATCTTCCCTTTGGTATTCGGTAAACACTAATTCAGTTTATTTGTTGGTGGTTGTGAAAATTTTCTAGAGTGGAATGTCTTTAGGATGATGATTTCGGCATCGCGTGATGGTTGTATTGATCATTACAATCGTGTACTGAAGCCATCTTATGAGAAGGACAACATTGAAGTTGATTTCTATGTAGCTGGAGTTGGAATTGGAGTTGTAAGTAAAATCAGAATTATATCTGACATCTTTCAACAAGAACAACAACAAGAACCCAGTTGGATCCCCCGAGAGTAGGGATATATTACATCTTTCTATATTTCATTATTGTCTTACTGAGTTGTTTATGCTTGGGTGCTGAGGTGGGGTTAGGCTTGTTTGATTGCTCTCTCTGATGATGTACTTTTTTTCCTGAAATGGTTGGATTTTCTGATGTGAATTTAATTGTTCTGATGCACTTATCCATGCCTTGATCTTCATTTGATTTTATATTTACTTGCCTCCTTTCCTTTTGATGTATTGCCCAGTTTTGATCAAGTTCAAGCCCAAAGCTTTCTTTACTACATGATTTTCTTTGTTCTGTCTTTATGGCGCGGAATTATTTGGTCGTAGATATGTATATATTGCATCATCATCTCCAATGGAGCCAGAGATTCACTATTTTTTGGCTTAGGGGTATCATGGAATAAAACAAAATGACTCTTTAATCTGTTTGTGCTTCTTCAATAGTGGAATAGCAGTTAGTCAATGTATCTTTCGATGTTCATCATGGGTCATTTGAAAATAGTCACTCTATGTTTTAATCATAGGACATTTGACCGCCTTACCCCACAATGGGCGGGAGCCTTTGAGGCACCGGGGTAATGTTGTTGTTGCACCATTAGTTGAATTCTGTTATTGTTAGATTCACTTAGTGCTGAGGAAGTAGAATGATTAGTCTTGATTGATGTGTTTTAAACGTGTGCATAGGTTATGGTCTCGGTCAAAAAGGACTCTATGCGTTCCACAGTTCATGCTGTGAATGTTTCCCATGCGCTTTACCGCACGTTATTGATCGCAATGCGTTTTGAGGGGCGGCATTTGATAAGACTACTTGTACCGGCTGCACATACTAAAAGGTTGATTGCTCTCCAGACAATCAGGTCCCCTTCTAGCAAACTTGCTATCTATCTAACAGGTACGTGATAAACTTGTGTGTTCTTTGTTTTTATGCTATTATTTAGTTTGTTAATTAATCCATTGGCCCACTTATTTTTGGACATGGGGATTGGTAGAATAATTAAGAAAGCAAGATTGTGTGGTTGATATTGATGTTCAAGGGTTTAAATAGGTAAGAACGAATGCAAGGCACCGAAGTGATTAAATATGAATATGGGATGAGACAAAAAAGTGGGTCAAATAAAAAAGTACTAAGTCATAAAGATAGTGAGACGGTGGGATTGCTTTTTTAACTTTCAGCTAAGGCTGTAAACGGATAGCCGAAAATCCGATTACCGTCCGCATCTGTATTCGTTTAAAGAGCAAATATCCGCATCCGTTTTAAACGGATATTATCCGTATCCGATTATTAAACGGATACGGATTTGGTAATTGTATATCCGATCCGTTTAAAATCCGATCCGCATATGCATCCGTTTAAATAACCGTTTATCCGAATATCCGATCCGTTATATATAGTTTTTCCTAATTTTTTATGTTTATATTTTGTTTCTCTATTTATATTTCAAAATATAAGACATTTTTAAATACAAAATAAATGAGTATACATAAAAATATATACAGACATATAAAAATATGTGTATATGTGTTGTGTATATCTTTTTATCATATAAAATTATCGTAGAATATCTGAAATCATGAAAACAAAGAAAATAATTATCTCATAACAAATTATAGTTGATTTAATAATAGTTTGACTTTAATCTAATTTAAAAATATAGTATTTTTTAATTTGATTTTAAAAATTGGAAACGGATACGGATATATCCGATATCCGACCGATATCCGACGGATGCGGATACGGTTTTGATTTTCAGTATCCGTCAAGATCCGTATCCGAATTCGATATCCGAAAAAAATAAACGGATGCGGATTTGGTAATGACACATCCGATCCGATTAATATCCGTTTACACCCCTACTTTCAGCTATCTTCCCTTTCAAAAAAAAATCAGCTATCTTCTATTCTTATTTGCTGGCATAATTGTTAGCAGATAACGTTTCTTTTTTATCCTCTGGTGATGTGATTGTGGAAGTGGAAGAGGATCCTTGGCACACAGATGAGACGATGCAATCCGTTTTTTCTGATCTGGGAGAGTTTACAGTTGAAGAGAGCATGGTGTCTGAGTTAAAAGCTACAGTAAGATCAATTAAATTTTTTTATGCATAATGAATTCACTTGATGATCTGCTAGAGTTTACAGTTGATGAGTTCATTCTCTTGCATATACTTTTTGATGTTCTTTGATGCACACGGGTACTACACAGAACGGCATTCATCCATCAAATCATGTCACATCTGCATGTGGAAAAGCAGCTTCTAGGGTAAAGTTTCGGAGAGATTTTGAGGTTAGCACTGCCATCCACCCGCAACCGCAAATGGGCTGGTTTGTTTGTTGCCTTTATTCAAAAGTGTGTACTTAAATGCATCTGATAATGAGGTTTCATTTCTCTTGAGTTACACAAGACTCTTGTGTAAGTCTAGTCACAGGTCTTAAATTTTGGCAAAGAATAATTCTTGCTCTTGCTCAAATGACTATTTACTACAAAGTATGTGGCTTTTATATGTTTGATAATGTCTTAGTCCCTTAGCTGTGTAAGAAATTCACTAAACGATCCTTAAAAAGAATGAAATTCACTGAATGGCATACTATAAAACTAGCCTGGGCATATTATCACATTTTGGGTGTTATGCTTTGTTTTTTGCGATTTTCAGACTCTTGGCAGACTTGGTGTTACAAATAAGTATTTTTATTGTCATATCCTTGGTATGATATTGCAATTGCAAGTCTTGTATTTCCATTTCCCATGCTTGCCTTATGTTTTAGATCAATAACCCACAATAAAATGTCTTATTTCCCTCCATGCAAATGGATTTGCAAATGTTCCAATGCTCAAACCAAAATTTACTCATTTTGCAGGTCAGGGGATCGAAGCTAATTCCCCTGCATTACATAGACTATATCATTGGTACAGACGGTGCTAATATTGAAAACATACGGAACTCAAGCCCAGCCACTGTTTACATCCAAACTTCTACTCTCAGAGAGGTCACAATTAGTATCGTTGGTGAAACACGGCGCGAGGTTGAGGATGCTGCGAATGCGATGGAGGTTAATTTGGCTTATGGCTTAGATGTGCTTACATTAAAATGAGAAGACGCGTGCTTTATGTTTTTTTTTAAAATTTTTTTTTGCAGGATTTGATTCCACAAAACCTCAAAAAAGATGGAAGACCTGTTTTTGAGGCATTGGTGTACTCGTCTTCAAATGGTGAGGGAGATAGTTGTGCTTGGCCTAAATTCCCGGATTTAGCCACGACAAGTCAATGCACTATCCCAAGTTAGTACGAGTATTATTTTGAGTTGCTCTTCGGGACTCCAATTCTGAAGCTATTAAATTTTATTGTGGTTAACACTTGCTGTCATACACATAGATGCCACAATAGCAATATTGTTAGCATGATGAATAACTTTAATCTAGCTTACCAAAAGAAGATCATTTCCCACAGGACCAATATTAGGAATAATATTTTCAGCAGGCTAAAAAAATTGTGAAAAAGAAACGAAAGAGATGTAAAGCTTTAACCACTTTTTTACAAGCTACTATTGACGGAGTACAATTTATCAGATTAAGTAAGCAAAACATTTAAATTTGGGGTTCCAATGACACCCGTGTCATTGGATACCACCCTCAATCCACACCATTCATCTCAAAAGGTCCACATTCGTCCATCATTAAATCCACAAAATAAACTCTGTTTCCTGCTCCCCTTCCGTCTTCTACCTTTCATTAGCGCACAAATCCAAAATGGAGTGTCATTGGGACCCCGCCGATTTTACAAAGCGAAAACATATTTTACCCTACAATTAATTAGTATATAAGAATAATTTAGTGCATTTAACTACTACATAATCAATACTCCCAACGGTTGCATTGGATCATTGTGCTTCATTTGGCTGCGACAAAGTGAATAGATTGTACTGGTGTTTATTGACTTATTACTGATAAGTAATTTTGAACTTATAACCTACTTATAAGTTTAATTGTGTTTGGTATAGATAAAATGATTTAAATGATACATATAAGTCATTTGAAGATATTCATAATCAGAAAGGAATAAATTTGTATATAATCTAATCAAAATATAGAAAAAAATGCTTTTAAAAATAAGTAGATAAAATTTACTTATTTTTTAGTTTATAAGCAGCTTATAAGTAAATGTAAGATCTTTCTTATTTTGAAATGTAGTTTTGAAATATTAAATTTTTATAAAATATACCTATATATAAATGTATATATTAATGGTTAAAGTATTATAGAGTATATTAGAGACTGAAAATCTAAATAAGATAATATTTTTTTGAACGGAGAGTACATGTTTTATTTCAGAATAGAAGAAGAAAGTTTAAAAGAAGAGTGAATGAATATCTCTAGTTCTAATGACTGTGTTAGAATGTATTATGGAGTACATGTTCATATTCTCTGAAATTTAAAAAAGATATTGCGATATAAGAGTACAAAAATTACACTAAATACAACCATTGAGCTGTGGATCTTTTGTGCACACAACTATCTAACCACAAAGTTCAACAAAAAATCAACCTAAGGGAAGACCAAAGAGAACAGACTGCAAAACCTATTGCGCCACAGTCGATTCAACGTATTGCGAATGAGAGGCGGCCACAAGCGCAGCTCCGACACCCGAGCCATCGTTTGCGAGCTCGATCACGAGGCTCGAATACGCCTCCCCGAGCAACTCCTTGAGAGCGCCTTCCATGCAACTTCTGAACTTGTTGTAGTGCTCAAACAGTCCTCCGTCCACCGCCACCACCGACTTCTTCCCCTCCTCATCTCCCGCCTTTGCGGCGTCTCTTCCCAACTTCTTGAGTATGCCAGCTATTCCGGCTGCCGAGAGGCGGGCCCCACGGGTCGCGATCACGTCACACACCTCCACGACTACTTCCCTTGTTCTTAGGGAAGAGTTGGGGACCTGTAGGGCAAAAAATAATTAAATATTTAGGGCGTGTTTGGTTAGGGAGAATATTTTTCGAGAAGAACCTTTTTTTTTGGGGGGGGGGAATGATTTTCAAAGAAGATTATTTTATTCCCCAAATATTTTCAATTGTAAAGATTTCATAACCAATATTTAAAAATGTGTTTTAATTATAACTTATACTATGTTAGAAGCATGGGTGCTAGAGTGACACGAGTTGGCGAGTGAACAATGGGCTGATGGGGTGAGGGATAAGGGACAGGGGTGAACAAGCGTGGTGAGTGTGAAGGGGGGTAGCAGGGTAGGGGTGGCGCGTGGGGGTTGACGAGGGGCGGGGGGTTGAGTGAGAATTTTCAAGCTTATGGTTGAAGACACAAGAGTGAATGGGTGAATTTATTATAAACTCACAACTTACCTCGAAAACGTCCTTAAGTTTGTCGCCGACCACATTGAGATCAGCAGATGTGTCCTCATGCATTGCAGACATGTCCGGAGTCCTACAAACATATAAACCCATACCAAACGCGTGAGATTTTTGAGGCCCTTATGCATACAATAACTCAAGCTTAGCATATAAATCTACCCTTTCTTCTTTGATTAGTTATTCGACGTTCAATTTCGTATCTCAAAAGTTTTGTCATATGAACGAACTCGTGTAAGCAAATGACACAAGTAGCACGGGTGTCATTTTAGACTTACTCTATATAAATATATACCCCTTACTTTAAAATGAATGGAATCCTGAGCTTTGGTGGGACCGTGTCGCCGAACAAGTTAGCTTCTTCAGCCAATCTCAACAACACTCTTCGGACAATCTCTCCAAGATACATGCCAGAAACCAGCTTCTCAAATAACTGCACCGTTTGGTTTTAAATGATGAAAATTCAAAAAAAGAAATTAAAAAATAGGGGAAAAATAAAAAATGGTTTGATATTATTATAACCTGTTCTCCGGGGTTCAGACTCTCAATATCAAGCAAATGATCGTAGTCTGAGAGTGGAAGATGCGAAGTTCGGAAATTGCCCCATTCCATGTTGATAACCTTCAAATATAAAAGTTAATCATGTTTAAAAATGTGACGCAAAGTTTGTGTGCACTGAACCCATCTGGTGGGTCCCCTCCCAAAATCCTCTATGAGAGAGAGAGAGAGTGTGTGTGTGTGTGTGTGTGTGTTCACCATAGACTACTAATAAGAGAACCAAAGGCTTACCATTTCTCCAGATTTAGGAAGTGAACCCTTCCACTTTGGTATTGCATTTGCCCGCTCAACATACGCAGCATTTGTACCCGTACCTAATATGACTGCAGCAATGACATCAGGGTTGCTATATCGCCCTCCTGCTAATGTTCCTACCGTATCATTTACCTGCAAAAAAAACCCAATTTTCTTAACTAACTTCGAAACATTTCATTTGATCACAATGACTATCCCTATGTTTTATAGGGGTAAGGCTGTTGCGTACATTGTGATCCCATACCCCAATTGTTGGAGTACAAAATCTTTTCTCTGTTGAGTTTGCATTTTGACATGGGCTTTGCACAATAAAAAAAAGATCATACCAATGCAGCAACACGAATATCAAGGCCAGCTCTTTCCATGCCTTTCCTCAACTCCTCTACAACGTCTAGTCCAACCTACACAAATTAGAGCAATGGACCATTGATATGTACCAGAAACCTTAGTTGCAAGACCAAAAATGACATTTGCAAAACATATGGAATGGACCGGAGAACAAACCAACCGTTTCTTCTATGGAGAAACCCTTGGTCCATTTGATAAGTGTTCCCGACGCAATCGAGGTTTGCCTGATTGGGAACGAGAAGGTGAAGCCCAACTCCCTTTGTCTCCCCAGCGGGAGGTGAAATTCATCACCTTCTTCTTCTTTTTGGACAAATGCCGCGAGCGTAGTGGCAATGAAATCAAACAGTGACTGAAACAACAAAAGAAACCCGCTAGTAACACCCTATATGAACACTTAAAACCTCAACGAAAGATAGTTATTTTGATTAATGCTTTAGGAAATGGTAAGAAACTCACATCAGAGGATGATCCGGCCATCAAGTGTGGAGGAATCGAGACTTCTTGAAATTCTCTATTGACAATCCCTTTCCCTTTTCCTCCGAGCTGAACCCGCATGACACGGAAGTTTGTGCCGCCCAGATCTAAGGCATAAAACCGGCCCTTTTCATCCCTGAAAGGAGAATTGGAACAACAAAAGAATGTGAAAAGACTAATTAACATTTTTTACTCCGAGAGAAGATATGATTACTGTCGCCCAACTGCTGCCCCCCATCCTCTCTACCTTATTCATCGAACTCGTAGAAAGTGTTGAGGGGGCGGACTGACAGAGAGATGGCGCGGGGCTAGGGTTTCGGCCATGGGTTCCGATATCGAGGACGGCGGCGTCCATAGATTCCGATCAAGACTTCATTGACAAATGATGCTAGATGGGTGAGAAAAAAGATCTTCCTCTCTCTAAAACTTTGATATTTTTAAGAGGGAAAATGCCAAAAAACCCCACCCTTGCTACCAACCATGCCCCTACATAAACATGTGGTAGGGAGGCAAAAAAATTAAAATTAAAGGATGGGTGGAGAATGGGTAGAGATAAATATGTGGTGGAGAAGTGGGTGGACGCAAGGTTGGTAGCAAGGGTGAGGTGTGTAGCACGGTTTGGTACACGGAATTCAAACTATGGAATTAGAATTGAGGATTTCAATTCCAATTCTGGTGTTTGGTAGCACAAAAATTACGTGGATTTGGACTTGATAGTTCAAAAAATGAATTGGAATTGATGAATTCAATTCTATGGAATTGAATCCTATGAAATTTTAATTCCATCAATTCCGTGTACCAAATGGACCCTAATAATTATGTGTTTTTTAAATTTAGTTCCCAACATTAATTAATTTTCAAGATAATACTTGTTAATTGGGAATAATATTCAGTTCATTTTTCGCGACTAACGACCCAACCTTAAACCTTATACTCCCTCTGTTCTCAAAAACACATCATCTTTCATTTTTTCCACTTCTAACAAAATATTTCCACATTCTATCAAAAAGCCACCTTTACCCTTATTTTTTCACACCATATTTATCACATTATACTTTTTCTCTAATAATCTATTCATCACATCTTACTTTTACCTATCACATCAGGGCAAAGTTAGAAGTAACTACAATTTAACATTTCCCGAATTTTATATTTAGTCAAAATAATTATTCAAAGTGGAACAAGTAACATGAATCAAATGGTTTCCAACTTAGTCCAAATAATCCACTGTGAAACATCTCCAAATATATAATTTGGTGTATTAAGGACTCGCATAAACTGATTAATTTCGAAATCTAACTAATTAGTCAATGCCATTATGCCAATATATTAGTTTCGAATTTTGGCGGGCATCTTTTGACCTTGAAATCCTGGGTTGACCCGGAAATTAATCTCCTAACCATAACCCCTCCTAAACCCAACCCCCTACCTACCCACCCTACCCCTGCCCCCTCACCCATTCGCCAATTGGGTACCGTATTAACACCGCAGGGGCCCGGGTCATAATCTGACCGTACCCGAGGTTCCAACTTCAAAATTAATCTTTTATCAGTATGAAACATAAATTATATTTTACTTAATTAATTATAAAATTCGTTAATTCAAATGTAAAAAGTAAAAAAACTGAAGAGGGGAGAGTGGGAGACAGGTAGAAGAGCGTAATTTACTATGCTGACCCGGTGGGGAGGTTATCAACGTAGGTAATGAGCATCTTGAGTTTGCTGCCCCCTTCGGAGGCGAGGCCGGCGTGCATCTCCACCGCCATGGCGTCGGCCACTTGCCGGAGCTTCCCAGCCGGTGTCCCGCACTTGTCATGCAGCTCTTTCAACAATAAATCCATGGCCTTGGCCCTCTTCCCGAAACAACTCCCCGTCTTCATCCGGTGCCTAACCACCAGCGCTGCCGCCACCGCGCACACCGCCCCCGCACACACCGCCGCCGCCGCCACCTTCCCCATATTATATATATATATAAGTATATATATAATATTCCCAAGTTCAGTACTTAAAATATATGTGTGTGTATGGTAATAATTAAGGACAAGAATTATAGCGTCAACGACGAGGATTTTTCACGAGCGACCTTGTGTTTTAAACAAGAAAATTGAATAGGGATTGATGAGTAGTATTATTATGGAGGAATTGAATTTGTGGAGTGTTTTTCAAGGAAGAAGAAGATCAACGATAGCTGCAGGGTAGAAACTAGAAAGGGATTAGAACTCTCGAATTGGAAGACTATTTAATGTAGGATAAGGACGAGATGAGGATTGTGACTTTTTGGATAATTTTATTGATATTTTTTCCTTATTAGGATATTCTTCTTCCCGGCCTTTATATATCGTTCTTCCGCTTCCTTTTTTTTATATATTTATTCTCAAATCGTATCGGGAAACAATCTAGAGTATGGACTCTAAAGTCTAAACCAATAATTTTAAGTAAAATTTGTACTAAATAAGATTAAAACATAATGATTTTAGAACTTAAACTTTTTTATTCTCTAAATAGATTTAATAATGACCTAGTAGGAAGAATAATACTACCTCCGCCCCAAAAAGATTTAATCGTTTTGATTAAATTTGAAATTAAAGGAGAGATAATTTTGTGTTGATTTTCCAAAAATACCCTTGATGTGATGGGTAAAGTAGGATATGATATGTAGATTATTAGGAAAAATGTATGATATGATAGGTAGGGTTTGAAAAAATAAGGATAAATGTGGTTTTTTAATAAAAATATGTGGGAGATTATAAAACGCAATTTTTTTGAAACGTGTAAATCTTTTTGGGACAGAGGGAGTATCTACTAATGATGGTTATTTACTTGAAAAATGAATAATTAATAATGACCAAAGGTCCTACATTGGGAAATAAAAATATATAGTCCTATATTGGAAAGGTCCTATTTAGGTAAATTTCTCTAATTTTAAATCCGGACTGGAAACCATCCCGGCGGAGAAGATGGATCCTGGGTTTTTCTGGGCCTACCCGNGGGATGGGGGGTTGGACTACACCGGTTGTGTCCGGATCGCGGTTTGGGAGGGGGGCCTACCCAATAATTTGTTGTGTTGTCTTTATATATACACTATAAATTTATTTTTTATTTTCTTTCATTGATTCAAAATAGAAAAAATTACTGTGAGGTACCTTAGATTTTGTGAGAGAAACTACAAGGTCTCATTATTTTTTAAAATATACTCCGGAGTACCATGAAATATCAAAAAAGTTATTCCAGGGTGACATTCCGTCCCTTTCTCCGTTAATCTCCCTTCTCCGTTAATTTCTCCTCCTCCATCCTCATTTTCGATCTTCTTCTTCTTCTCTCCTCTCTTCCTCCTCTTTCAATTCACCTTTGAATCTTATCCAGCCCTCATCCTCCCATTTTTTATTCTTCTCTTTTTCCTTTTGAACTTTTTTTCTTCTTACCTATTATTATTATTATTATTATTATTATTATTATTATTATTATTATTATTTGTTACCAATTATTATTATTATAAATTTAATTAGTGGTTTTACCATCTTATTCTTTTTTACTTCATATTTATTATTATTTTCTTCTTATTCTATTATTATTATTATTATTAATTACTCCATATTATTTTTATTAATATTTATTACTATTATTATTATTAAAAATTACTATTTACTTCTTATTATTTTATTAAAAATCAATTATTAGTTTCACTACTCTTTTTTAAAGAAAAATAACAGTAATAATTACTATTTACTTCTTATTATTTTATTTTCTTGTATTGTTTTACTTTTATGCCCCCATTGACAATTTCCAATTTCTAATTTTTCACTTGCGTAAAAGAAGTTTAAAGTATTTTTAAGCTCTAATTAAAAACTAATTTTAGTATGATATATTTATGTATAGTTTATAAAATGAATATAATTTATTCACTAGGTTATAATTTATACCTCGCATTTCATTATGGTGGCTATCGATGACTAATGTGTGACTAATGCGAAAAACAACATCGAATGACAAAAAATTAAAATAGTGAAAGTACTAATTATTTTTTAATAATGATAATATTAAGTTTTATTTTAAAAATAAGTGCTGTTTTTATAAATAATAATAAGTGTCATTTTTCTTTAAAAAAGGTAATAAAAGTACTCATTAATTTTTAATAATAATAATTATATATTAAAACAACAGCAGAAAAGTAAAATAATAAGAAGTAAATAATAAGTAATACAAAGTACTAATAATAAGTACTATTATTTTTATAAAAAAAAGTATAGTAGTAAAATTATGAAATAATTTCTTTTAATAAATAATAATATTAATAATTATAAGTGTTTTTTTATAATAAGTGATATTTTAATAAATAACAATTGGAGTAAATTACATATATAGGACAAAAACATAGTGTTTTTCCCCATATAGGACCACTCTTATTTAGTACATGTTTTAATATGTGAATGGACTAGATTAGCCTTAGCTTCCAAAATAACAATTAAAAAAGAGTACTAAAACTAATAATGAGTTTTAATAATATTATTAACAATTATAAATAACAATAATCCGGAGTAATACTCCGTAATAAGAATAAAATAATACTAATAAATATGAAGTTAACAATAAGTGCTACTCTATTAGTATTTTTCTTAATACTAACCCCGGATATTTTAAGGTACCCCAGAGTAATTTTAAAAAATAATGGTACCTGACAGTTCTTTTCTCAAAATCTAGGGTACCCTACAGTAATTTTTTTCAAAATACTGTCCGTGCAACGCATGAGTTAGAGAACTAGTTGGTTTAAAAGAAAACAAAAACAATATGAACCCGGCCCTAAAGCGTCGTCTTCTTATATGCATGCATGTAAACCAAAACAAAATTTCAAGACACAACACAGACGCAAATATAGTACTCCCTACCCCCCAAAAAAACCTTCATGTTTCGATTTTCTTTTGTCAAATTTTAACACTACTCTTTGATTAAAAATTAAATATAATTTAAATATATAATTTTCAAAAAAAATTTGATATTTTAAAACTATATGACCTATGATAACCCAACTATATTGAATTTAACTTATAATTGAATAAATTGTTTCAAAATTTGTGATGAAATATGGCATTATTTGAGAAAAAAATTCAAAACAAGAGATTTCCCCCTGAGACACGGAGATAATAATAAACAATAAGAAAAAAAATGCTTGGTGTCCACTTCATATACACCAGTGTTTTATAAATACACACATAATAATTTTCTAGCGCCTATATTCGTGGTACAATCGTTCAAAGGTGGTGAAAAAGCCAATAGAGGCCAATATAGCATGAAAAAAACACAGCAATCCTCCGAGTAAAAGAAAGTTAGGGTAAGATATGGCACACGATCCATTAGGTGTATGCTTCACAGTTTGTCCCATCACAATCCAATAAACTCCCACACCCCCAGTAATACTGCACGTAAAAAAGAAGATTGTTAGTTGATTAATGCATTTGAATATAATAAATGAGTTATTAAAATGGTTTGTGTACAAATGAAATGCCCTATTTTAGGCTTTTTTTATATGATTGGATCTGATTTGATTTGATTCTATCAAATATGATCTTATGGAATCTGATCAGATTAGATCTGATCTGATTTGACATGATCTGGTGTAATTGAATTTAAATTTAATTTAAATTAAACTTGTAATTATTATAAGAAATTTAATAGCTTTGAAGAATTACAATTCATATATATATATATATATATATATATATATATATATATATATATATATATATATATATATATAACTCACCCCTCCAAGAAAGTCTTAGAAATTCTCACAATTGAGAAAAAATAAGGTATTGCCTGGATCTAAGAAAAAAGACAAAGAACGTCAAGGATCTTCAATCAAACAAACACCTCTAATAGTCTTCTCTTCTTCATTAACGTCAACAGCTACAAGAGCACGTTAAACTTTTTTCTTCTTCTTCGATGTCAGCTGCCACCGGCTTACGTCAGACTTCTCTCTTTCTCAAGGTTTCTAGTTCTCAGCTAGTGTCCAAGCTTCCTCTTAGCTTGCTTTAGCCAGAGTTCAGCTTGAGGGAGATGTTAGACAATAATAATAGTAGTATTCCTTAAGAGTGTATTGGTTATGGTAGTATTTTATTACTCCCTCCGTCCCCCTAAGATCTTCTCGTTTTGACTTTTGGCGATTTTTAAGGAGAGTTGAAAAAAGGTAAAAATTTACCAAAATATCCTTAATGAAAATGAGTGGGGTGTATTAAATAAGGTTGAAAAGGTGTAATAAATAAAGTAACTGGGGTAGTTGTGGTATTTTAAATGTTAACAAAAGTTAATGAGAAGATATATGTGGGACAAATAAAAAGGGCTAATAGGAAGATCTATGAGAGACGGAGGGAGTATAAGTCAACTAGCTTTCTTTTCTTATTTATGGTAGATGTTGTATTTTAGTTAGTTTTATTCTCAATTCTTGGTTGTGTAGGAGCTTTTCCTATATATAACCTACCATGTGCTCCATAATCCAATGAGCAATATTATTATTCAAATATTTTAACATGATGGCCTAGTAATTGGCATTAGAGCATATGCAATGGCATGGCAAACCATTGCCTTGCCCTGCCATTAATGGAGTGGAAGAGGATACAATGGGTGAGGAAAAAATTGACATGCATGGCAAAGCGCGAGGCACCCCTATTTGCGAGGCAGGCGCGAGGCAGATTTTCAATTCCTTTTTCATTCTTGTTACTGAGTTTTTTTTTCCGTAACCCTCAGCTCCAATCATGGCACTACACGTTACATAGTAGTTGGCTAGCTTTTTCATTCTTCTTTCTCATCCAACATTTTTTCATAACTAAAAATATAAACCCATTTTTTAAAAGTATTATAATCCTTTTTTCTAAAACTATATATACACACACAGATGTATTAAAACTACACATTTTACCCAAGCCTATGCAATTTTGCCAAAATTAATATTCCGTAGATAATTACAATAATTTTGAATAATTAAATTATATGGAGTACAATTTATACTTGACATCAAAATATGTATATTTAAAAAAACAATAATAAAACTATATGGAGTACCATATAAACTTGACATCAAAAACAGTATCATTGCCAAAAAATAAAAAAGATTAAAATTATTTTTATTAAAAAAAGACAAGTAAAATAATTTTTAATAATTAAAATACATTTGAAAAGTGTAAAAAATAATAACAAGAGTGACTTGCCACTACAAGGCATGTCACTCCATCCATTTGCCACACGGTGACTGGATTAATTTTGATTGGCTAAAATACTCCACGTCATCGTGTGGCATTCCATTTCTTACTTGCCATTGCACATGCTCTTAAGAAACAAGCAATTATGCTACTATATGCACTTTGGCCAATAATGTGAATGTAGCAAAAAAACACAGGCAAAACAAGTGTTAAACAATAATAATAGTATTACTTATGGTAGTATTGGTCATGGTATAGTATTTGACTATTAGTCAGCTTCTTATTCCTATTTATGGTAGATGTAGTATTTTAGTAAGTTTCTATTCTCTATTTCTAATTTTGTTAGAAATCCCTCTCATGAATAGTACTCTATCATTTACTTCATAATTCAATGAGAATTATTATAATTCCAATATCCTAATAATGGTATTGGAGATAAGGTTCTCTAAAACCTAAAATCTTCTTTAAGACCAAGCACATCGCTGATCTCTGTTTACGGTGGTCGATCATCCAACAGCGTGGGATCACTGACCAATCTCGATGAGCGTGTCTAACAACCGCCGTCCATTATCCCTCACTTTCTGTCAAAAAAAAATCATTATCTCTCTTTCTCTCTCTCTCTTCCAAAAAAAATTATGTGTCTGATCCAAAAACATAAAATTACATTTGTTTGTGTTTTTTCTAGAGACCGAGAGCATGGAAAGTGATAGAGAAGCAGAGAACGGCCCACAAGGAGAAAAAAAGAAATCTCTCGCCCTCGCCCCAATCGTCAACACTCTCACCAGAAAAAAAACCCAGCAAACGTAATATCAAGATCGTTCGTCATGCAACAAAGATTGACTCTCTACTTCTAGAGGTTATCCTCACGAAACTACTTTTGCCAGCTCAATTCTAGTGTGCATGTGCTCCAAGCTGCTCCTGGTTATCGATGATTAGCTTGCGGGAGATATTAGGAATATTAGATAATTGAAGATAAATATTACTCCGTATATTTAATTACTTTCCTTATTATATTATTTTCCTTGTTACCATAGTTGTTCTCCTACTATGATTAGAATTCTCTCATTTAGTATCTATAAATAGGGATGTATCCTTCAATATTCAATGAGACTAATTATAATCAAATTGTATCAATATTAGGAATATTAGATAATAGAAAATAAATATTATATGATATATATTTAATTACTTTCATTATTACATTATTTTCCTTGTTACCATAGTTGTTCTCCAACTATGATTAAAATTCTCTCATATGATCTCTATAAATGGGAATGTATCCTTAATATTAAATGAGACTAATTATTATCAAATTGTATCATGATATCATAGTCACCGGTCTTGGTGAACTCAAATTTTATGCACTCGCTCATGGCAGACGGTATCGCCATTAGCCGCCCGCCAAACCGTTGTTCTTCCTTATTCCGCAAATCCTCAATCTCTCCATACTTTCCAAACATAGTAGTTAGAGTCTGGTTGTTGTATTCTAATCGAGACTTATGGATTTTTTTTTTTTTCCTGTCGGAATATGATATCCATGGAAGAAGAAAAGAAAAGTAGAAGAGATGTGAACATGAAGTAAAAATGAGTAGTTTGTGGCTTGGAAAACTAAACATACATGGATAGCGCAGCAATGATTGCAACATATAGCCGGATCAGATTGTTCAGCACTTCCTTTCGCCAAAACAAAATTCCATAAACCAAGGTGAGTCCATGAGCAACCACCATAAGAAATATTCCAACATTGGCACGCAAAGAAGAGTTTTCGACTACCGACTCACAATCATCAAAGCCACGCGCCACCTTTTTCATAGGAAAATAATGAGAAAAAACCATCTATATCAGTCTCTTTCTGACCCGAGAAAATCAATTTGGAAAGAAGGGAAGATGCCACAATTATAGTTTAAAAAGGAAAAGCACGAAAAATCAAATTGATTTAACAAATTTAGATAGAGGATATATATCAAAATAGAGGTTTCATGTTTTTGATCCCTAAATATGAGTTCGCATTGTGACAATGTGGCACTGTACATGTGCATTTTACGTAATATACATGGTCAGGATGAGTAATGAAAAAGCATTTCAATTCCTATTTCGAGAATAAAACATGGAACTCTTATTTTGGTATATTCGCAATATTTTGCTCTTACTTTAGTCTTTTTCAAAATTATAACACTCCTTCAAGTATTTAATTTTTATTCTTTACCTTAATGTTTTTTCAGAAGTGGCAGGATTAGAATTATATGGGATTAAGGTTACTCATTACTCTATCTATAAATACTACCTCCATCCTAGAAAAATCTTTCGATTTTGAATATTTTGATCAAACAGTGACATTTTTTGACTATAATTTGTGAAACAAATACATTTAATTATAATATTCCCTCCGTCCTATATCTTTCTTCCCGTAGTGCAAAACGAAGAAAAATCCCAGGTTTTTTCAATCTATTTTATTTAAATATTGGTATAGAAATAAAAAATAAAACCTACATATTTAAAGACTACATCAAAAGTTCAACAAAACAAGTGGTGACAAGAATATTTTATTTTATCATATAGGCCATGGACAAATAAATATAAATTCCCGTGAAATTGGAATAGTGCTCTGGGAAGAAAGTTTTAGGACGGAGGGAGTATTAATTTAAGATAATTGGATTCTAGGATATAGCTTTGATATATCAAATTTTTAGAGGATTTTTAAATATTAAAACTATGTTTAATTTGTAATCAAAACAGTAAGGTTTTAATAGGGGGAGAAAGACCAAAGTAGAACTAAAACATTGAAAATATACCAAAATAGGACTTCCATGTTTTTATTCCCGAAATAGGACTTACATTACCATACATGGTCATATACATTACCAAAAACGTATAGTAATTTGCACATGTACACTGGCACATTACCACAGGGCAAAGTCACATTACCACAGTGCAAAGTCCTATTTCGGGAAAAAAACATTAAAGTCCTATTTTGGTACTTTTATCTATGTTTTAGTCCTATTTAGGGTGATTTCTATTTAATAGGATGGAAGGAGTATCATGTACTCCGTCCCTTAAATTGCTTCTCCTTTCTTTTTTTCTCTGTCTCACAAAATCTTTCTCATTACTATTAAAAACTATTTTTATCCCTACTAATTCTTATTCTATTCATCACATCATATCTTTTTACTAATAATTTACCCATTACATTCTATTTGTAGCCATCATATCAAATGTATCAAATGTATTTTTAGGAAGTCAATACAAAAATATCACTTCCTTAATTCTCTTAAAAATTAAATTAGTAAGAACTTTAAGAGACAGAGGAAGTACTTTGTATCTAGCTATTATGATTATCAAGTTATCAATCAAGAAATTCTTCTCTCAAACTCTACGTTTATCTCTTCTTCTCCCAAATTCTTCACCTTCTCCAATTTCTCCTTTGTAGATTCCAACGATCACATTCTTAAAAAAAAGGGACGAGCCACATATAATTAAGAATCGTCCTTTATACCTGTACCTCAAAAATTTGTACCCCAATTTGTACCCTGCAGTTTTGCACCAACATTTTGTGTTGGTGTAAAACTAATTTTTGTTAAATGCACCAACATTTGTGTCCGTGTGAATTTTTATTAACGCACCAATACTTGTGTCGGTGTAAACCATCGAAATATTTGTGCAAACTTGTGGTGTACAAATGAGGTATATTTGTTGGTGTAAGTGTAGCATGGTCCTAAAGAATATAAGATCTTTATGTAAAACATGAATTTACCTACAATACAATTCCTTTGCTATGATCGAGTGGTCACAATGCCTTTCCCTAATCACATCAGCTAATAATGATGAGTGTTTTTTTACTTTCTTTGTCCCATCATAAAAGACAACATCTCACCATTCTAGTTTGAAAAATTGGCACCATGCCATTTCTAAAATTAGTCTAGCTTCAAAATATTGCACTCATACTTTCTTTGATCATTTTTAGCGAAAAAGGGGTATTGGTGCCTTTTTTTAAACCATAAGGGGCACTTGTGCTCATTTTTTATTTTTCTTTATTATTTGGTTTTATTTTTCTTTTTTAATCTCTTTTTTAACTATTTGTTTTCTTTTCCTAGATTTTTTTTAAATTTTCTTTTCAATTTTTATAATGTTTTAAAAAATTCCAAATTCTTTTTGTTTGAAATAAAAAAAATAACATATACTCTGTCTATCTCAAATTAAATATTTGAGGTCGAGGTAAGATGTCTGCCACGACGCACTCCGATTCATCTATCACGACGCGATCTTTTTCCTCTTCTACAAGGCCGAGGTAAGCCCACCCCACGAGTCGCTCTAAATCGTCCGCGACGATATTATTCGTGAGGCTAAGGTAAGCCGTCCTTCTTAACGCACTCCTAGCCGTCTTCTACGATGTGAACTTTTTTGCTCTCAGATTTAAAGCGAGGGGTGCATCATTTGTGCCTATCTCATTTACCCAACTAGCTCCCATTTGAAGACCCTAGATCTCACTAACGATGACTTCAAGGTTTGTTCTAGCCAATACTACTACACGATTGTCGCACTTCGCTAATTAAATCTATCTTTTGTCCAAAACCTTTGGACTCAACTCACACATTGACTTACTTTTCTTTGCTGCATGGTGGTCGGTCCGCCTGAGCCCACGAGCATCTTCGGTTCATTTTTGAACTTATTTTGTAGATTAGAAAGATGAAAAGGTCGAGAGGGACTAAAGACCCTTGACGGAGCTGAGCATGGGCGTTACCCCCTCTCACCTTGGAATGCTTCCTCACCTTGGAATGCTTCCTCGGCTTTAGGTCGGCCTTAATCACCACACGAGGCACTCAAGTGCTCGTCTCCTGAGATCCCCTAAGATCGGCCTCAACCACCTAACGAGACATTCGAGCGCTCGTCTCTCGAGATACTCTAAGATCGGCCTCAGCCACCTCACGAAGCACTCAAGACCTCATCTTCCCGAGGCACTCTTCAGTTCCCTCCAAAGGTAAGTCGATTTAAGAAGAGAACTCATAAAAGAATGAGGGGACCTAAGACTCCAAACAAAGCCGAGCGTGTGCACTACTCCTTCTCACCTCATAATTCTTCCTCGGCTTAGGGAGTGTGGGACTTCGGGTGCTTGGCTCGTGATTGTTACATTGCACACTGTGCGAGCTTGGCATATCAACATCTTATCCCAACCTTGTATCACACTGCAGCAGTCCGTGTCAGCATGCACTCATTGGCAATACATTATGACAAACACTCCTAAACTTCAAACAACGAGTTGCGAGAATTAGAAATCAGCTCTTCTGAAGATCACCAAGCTTTCCTTTACTCGAAGACCTCACACCCTAGCAATATTTTCTTGATTCACTTTGTGGGACGAGATGTACTCTTTTTCTTGATCGAGGATTTTTTCCAACCCACATGGGTATTTTCCTCACATTGACGGGGTTGTGGGATGATCATCGAAGACGACAGATGGACTGCATAGGACGACTAATTCATCCACTCTTACAATGCTCGTTGTGCTCTAGATAGCAAATCGACGATGCCCTTTGTACGAGAGAAGATCCTTTCAAGACAATGAGCAGATTATGTGTTTTTTCTTGCTTTACCGCTCCGAACAACGAGTTGGCGGTGCACCTCGTACTCATTGTTGCATACTTTTTCACTTTGCCGCTTTGGACAACGAGTTAGCAACGCACTTCATGTTGATTGGGGCGATTTCTTTCACCTTACCTCTCGAGACAATGAGTTGGCAGTGCACTCTAGACAGCAAGGAAGTCAGTGTCCTTCCGTGTTAGATTATTGTTCTACTTCCACTTCGCCTCGAGTTCCCCTGGGCTTGGGAAGTGGGGAACTCATGATGGATACCCTGGACATGGGGTATCCGGTCTTTATATAATACTAGTCGGGGCGATCTAGTCTGTTGGACCAACCCGCTAGTCATATACTCCCTCCGTTCCACAAAACTCTTCTGGTTTTGACTTTGGGGAAAAATAAGGAAAATGAAAATTTGGTTGACTTTCCAATTTTGCTCCTAATGTGATGAGAAAAAGTAAGATGTGATAGTTTGGTTATTAGTGAAAAAGTATGATGTGATAGGTAGGGTATGAAAAAGTAGAGGTAAAAGTGGTTTTTTAATAGAAAGTAGAAGTATTTTGTAGAAAGAAAAAAACGAAAGAGGGAGGATTTTGTAGAACGAAATCAGTATTAATTACTTATTTTAGGGGCAGCCCAATCTGTTGGGCCGGCCCATTAATTTTGTATATGGGCCAAAACTCTAGCCCTGATTCTACCCTAGGCCAAAACCATCCCCCTCTTCTTTCTAGGAGAAGAAGGAGGGGGCAACTCATGCTCAGTACACTCATTCAACACTATTCATCATCTTCTTCGCACATGTTCTTCTACTTTTCTAACTATGGATTCACAAATCCATTAGATATCCATGAAAGAAAAACTATTGGAATAATATTTAATAATAGATGACTAAATACGAAAATCCCAATAAACAAGGATTAATTATGAAATTCAATCTAAAATTTATACGGAGTATTTTTTATTGTCGAATCACTTAAATTTATTATGATCATCTCCAATTATCGAGATAATATATGCCCGTGCAATGGCACGAGTGAAATGCAAGTAAATTTTAATCGAGTATGAGATAGATAGAGTCGTACCATACGTCGTTGCTTGTTCCTTGCAGAAATCTCCAGAGCTCCGGCTATGGTATCTGCAGCGATTGTCCCAAGAGCCGCAAAAAGCGCTCCAGTCACGTCTACAGCGGAAATTTCATCGCGTGAATTGGAAGCAGCCCCTCCAATTGACAATGACATTATAGCGCGTGATATCCAAACACCGATAGGTGTGTTTACGGATGAGAAGGTAGTATACAGCACACACAAGACGCCGTTACACGGTATATAACGGAGTAAAAAGAAACTAACGGACTCAGTCACCCAGCCCCAAAATGTTATTCCGTCGGTCTCTTATAGATTTCCATAGAGACATCAGACATGCTATTTTAATTCTACTTTAACTTCACTTTTGACCTTCATTGGTTTCACATCTCAGGTACATTATTGACACCAAACAGTTTTCCATGTTTGTAATGTCTTGAAAGCTATGAGGTCAAAAATGATGTTAATATTTTGGATAAAGCTACTTGTACCCCTTATTTTTATACCTATTTTGTACCCCGCAGGTTTGCACCAACACAAAGTTGATGCACAAACATTTTGTGTCCGTGTAAAACTAATTTTTGTTAATGCACAAACACTTTATGTCTGTGTAAATTTTTGCTAACGCACCAACACTTGTATCGGTGTAAACCATCAAAATATTTGTGTATATCTGCGGTGCATAAATGGGGTACAATTTGTGGTGTAAGGGTAGCATGACCCTAATTTTTTATTATTTCCGTATTAGGTATTATAGGGCTTGGCTCAGTTTGCTTTCGATCCTAATTATTGGATTATAGATTTAAAATTTAAAGGGAGAAAAACCAAAGTAGGACTAAAACATTGAAAATATACCAAAATAGGACTTCCATGTTTTTATTTCCGAAATAGGACTTACATTACCAAACATGGTCATATACATTACCAAGAAAGTATAGTAATTTGCACATGTACACTGCCACATTACCACAATGCAAAATCACATTACCACAATGCAAAGTCCTATTCCGGAGAAAAAAACATGAAAGTCCTATTTTGGTACTTTTCTGTATCTTTTAGTCCTATTTAGGATGATTCCTAAAATTTAAAAGTAAAACTTATATAAAAAAAGTGAGTACATAAAAATTTTATAAAACAATATATGACAAGACTATATTTTATTATGAAATAATAAAAAAGTAAAAATAAGCTAATAAAGTGAAATAAATTTGACATTGTGACCAGTGTGTATTTAAGGGACTAAGAGAATATCGCTTTCATAATAATTTTATTTTCAAATTAATATAAAAATAAAATCAAAATTATATATTTAAAAATACATAAAAATACTCTTTCCGTCCCTCGAGGTTCTTCCTGGTTCGGGTTATGACGTTTGACATAATCATTTTTTAATTCATTTTATATGAATATTGTGTCGAACAAAAAAAATTATATTTAAAAACTACATCAAAAAGTAGTGACCATACTATTTTATTATATCAAATTACATGTTCAAATATAATAGATTTTAAAAATGTAAATAAAATTTGGCATCTGAATAGTAACTCTTAAAGGACAAAGAAAGTACTCCGGGGTATAAAAGAAGACATCATCTGACAAGAATATTTTATTTTAAAAAATTATCAATAAAAATACATGAATAAATAAAAGTTATCGAAAGACTATAATAATAACTGATACGATATTTTTGGCACGAAGAGAGTAAAAAGTTAAAAAAGAAAACGTGATTCTTTCTTCCGTCCCAAGCTATTCGATCATTTTCAAAGAACATGCAAAATTTCAACTCTTTTTAAATAATTTCATTTATAAATTACTACATCCGTTCTAGAATATTTGTTCACTTTCATTTTTACACACCATCCTATACAGTTTTTAAATCAATTTTATCTTGTAATTTGAATATTAAAAAATTATAGAAATTATATATTAATAATCTATATGTTAAGCAATGCAACTTTCGACGTTGAGCTGGGGGTCTCTTTGGAAACAGCCTCTCTACTTTCGAGTAGGGGCAAGGTCTGCGTACACACACCCTCTCCAGACCCTACTCTTGTGGGATTTAACTGGGTTGCTGTTGTAATCTATATGTTAAGACAAATCAAACAAGATCACACATGACTATATTTAGACTTACACATTGAGAGAATTTGATAAGTCAAAGTACTTAAATGAACAGTTCCAAAAATCAAAACTGGACGAATAGTCCGGGACGGAGGGAGTAGTATTAAAATATAAAACAAAATTTACATATTTAAAACTACATAATATACTAAAAATTGTACAAAAAATGTTGATATACTACGCAACTATTTTATCTTTTCAAATTATTAACAAAAATGCATACACAAATGAATGTTACTCGAATCCTATAATAGCAAAGAAGCAATCTTTTTGGGGAAGGAGAGACTATGTTATATTAAAGAAATAAAACATGGAGAAAGTACAAAAATAAGAATTTCATGTTAAAATGAATTTGTATTGTGGTAATGTGACACTCTACATAGGCATGTGTTGTAATGTGCATGGTCATGCTTGAAAATGTAAATGTATTTTAACTCATGTTTCAAGAAATAAAGACATGAAACTTCTATCTTGTTATATTTTCACTGTTTTGCTCTTATTTTTGAGAAAGTACTAATATAGGAGCTCCAGGTTTTTATTTCTAAAATAAAAATTTGCACTGTGGTAATGTAACATGTGGACATGTGATCCAAGTACTTGTGGTCTTATGAACATGTAGCGTGATTAATGAGGAAAATTAAAAGTTGGGTACGCTTACAAATGTCGAGGGGTATTTTGGGGATGGCGATGCAAAATTACTCCTATTTGGGGAATTTATGTTTTACACTTCTATTTAGATTTATTTTTTTATATTTTAGTCATATTTAAGTTTTTTCCTGAGATTCTCATTTTGGTATTTTCATACTTTTTACTCACATTGCTTTTGTATCAAATACTACCTCCATCTCAATGGCTTTTCTCGTTTGACATTTTCTTAGTTTGACATTTTCAAATTAGGTGTAGCTTATGATATAGAATTTTTTAAAAAGTATGTTGTTTTATTATTATACTCCATACAATATACAGAGTGATTTTGATTTAATTGATTATCAGAGTTAATTTTATTTGATTCCAAAAAATCAAACTAAAGAACCCATTGGGTCAGAGTGAGTAATCTATATACATACCAAATACGTAGTATTCAATGTATTTATTCTTGCTATTCCAAAATTATCTTTCTATTTCAAATAAAAAAAATTGATTGAGTTTATTTTTAGCTCAATTTATGTTAATAAATAATTGTGTCATTTTAACAAATGATTAAAAATTAAAAAAAGAAGAAAGTTTGATCAAAACAATAGTTTTGGGACAAATGGACTGGAGATATAAAAAGACATACTTGGTCCGTCCCTGAGTGTTTGTCCACTTTTGACTTTTGGAATTGTTCATCTAAGCACTTTGACAAATCAAATTCTCTTAATGTGTAAGCCTAAAAATAATCATGTGTGATCTTGTTTGATTCGTCTTAACATATAGATTATTAATATATAATTTTTATAATTTTTTAATATACAAATTACAAGATAAAATGGATTAAAAAAGTGCATTGGATAGTGTGCAAAAATTAAAGTGAACAAACACTCAGGGGCGGAGGGAGTAATTCAAGATTGAAAGAAAAGCGACCTAATGGGTGACATTTTTTATACTCCGTACCAAAATAGGGTTGATGTATTATGTTGGGTAGAAGGTAGACGTGATAGTTTTGTTATTAGTGAAAAAATATGATGTGATAGGTATGATATGAAAAATTAAAGATTAAAGTAATTTTTTAATAGAAAATTGAAATGTTTTAAATAATTCAAAAAAACGAAAGGAGAAGGATTTTATGGAACGAAAGTAGTACTACATATTAGCATTCTACGTTATTCTTTATGGTTGAGATTGTAGATCCTATTTTATGGTTAAACTATACGGAGGTCATATTTATTTATTTTTTTATAATTTATTCATATTTTAGTGTTTTCCCCATATATATAGAAAAGAAATGGTTGATTTATCGAGTATTTTTAATAATTAAAAACAATTGCGGGTCTTGCAGGTTGTAGCCAGCCTTGTAAATAATACTGCCTATAATCGCTCACCTTTTAGCAGTTTTAAGGCACTAATTTTGCTTTCGACGCCGTTGATTTACCGTTTCAGATCCTGCATAGAATGACCATTTCAGATGCTCTGCATACTCGAACAATAAAGTAAAATTAGTCATATTGACTTTGAATGTCATAATGACCAAAGTCTGTTACAAGTGCTTCGTTTAAAAAATTGATAATATTTGAGGTATCTCTTTTAAAATTTCTTACACTCCTCCTTATCAGTTCACCGATTTGTTACAGTGATTGCGTAACAATTCGGCGAACTGAATGGGAAAGATTAGAAGTTAGAGGTTCATGAGAATTTAGAAGAGGAAAGAAACACTCAATTTTTGGAGTCAAACAACATTGAAGACCCAAGTCATCCTATGACATTACTCTCAATGTCACTTGAACTGGTCCCAAATAAAAATACTTCAAAATTTAACTTTTACCCGTTGTCACATTGCCTCTTACTCTTATGCTATCGTGGCCCTTGCTCGTCATGCCTAGTCACGGCATGTAGGATAAGCATGGTAGGTATGATACAACAATTTTCTCGTACTCACATCGTACCGAATATTTTGGTTTCATATAAGATTTTACATTATATCGATCTCAATCTCAAATATTAGTTTAGTATGCTTCGAGATGGTTTGGTATCAATTTCGATACATATTGGAATAAATACATACACATCTACTTTAGACTTTAAAATATAACAAAATAATTTATTTTTGAGAAGATGTAAGTATGTTCAAATAAAGAAATATAAATTGAAATTTGAATAATTAGATGCAAGAAATGCTTATTATATGACTTATACTTCTTTTGTTCTATAAAACCTTTCTGGTTTGATTTTTAAAGAAGGTAAATGAAATGTATTTTTGTATTGATTTTTTAAAAATACCCTTAGATATGATATGTAGGAGTAGGATGTGATGTATTTATTAATAGTGAATAGATATGATATGATTGGTAGATTAAAAATTACTAAATTAGTTAGAAAAAAAGTGACTTTTTAATAATAAGAAAAAAATTTTGGAACGAAAGAAAAAATAAAGGAGAAATATCTTATGAGACAAGGAGAATATTTTACAAACTATAGAAAACAAGTGACAGAAAAATGATATTTCAAATATTTTTTAATATTTTTTATCTATCTTCGAAAAACAAAAATAAAAAAACACATTGCAGCTAATAAAAACTAAATAAAAATAAAATAAATTAAGATAAGTGCTTGCTTCAGGACAGAAAAAATGACAAGAAGAGGAAACACTGGTTAGAAAATTTAAGAATTCATTATTGATCAAGAATATGAAAAATCAAAAAGTATAAATGGCAAAATTCAAGAATTTGTATGTAATCAGAAGCTGAATGAGAAAACTCCTGAATGCAATGGTTGAAGTAAAAAATGGCTGGGAAGCTTGAGGAAAATAAATTCATCTAAACACCCTATATAATTAACAATATAAAAATTTGGGGCCAGGATGATTGACAGACATAGGAAACCACCTCATTTCATATTAAATAAAAATGCATATGAATGCTCATGTGAGGTATTAAGAGATCCCAGAATTGCATTAGGGCCACCATCACCAACAATTTTGTTTGTTAGATTCATTGCGGAATTTTATTGAACATCTTCTGTGCAACATGATACCTTGAACTAAAACTAAGCAGCTTCCTTTATATTCTAATTATTTCATCCTCTAATTTTTTTTTCATTTTTGTCTTTCAGTTTTTATTTTCTGTTCCATACGGAGTACTGTTTTTATTAAATAAAAGTTGCATTACATAGCAATAATAAAATATTTCACACACACACGCACGCACACGCGCGTGCGTGCATGTGTGTGTGTGAGATGTGTTTCTCAAACAAATATTTTGTTATTGCTATGTAATGCAACTTTTATTTAATAAAAACAGTACTTCGTATGGAACAGAAAATAAAAACTGAAAGACAAAAATGAAAAAAAAATTAGAGGATGAAATAATTAGAATATAAAACAATAGATTATGAAAAATCACATAATCCACTGCACAGGGGAGAAACGGAAGATAGCACTCAAAGAAGCTATGCTTCCCCCTCATATAGGCCTACTTAGCCATTCACCTCTGAGGCTAAAAACTCGCAAATTTTGGATAATACAGAGAAAATTTTGAGATTAGTATGATCCCACCCAAGGATAACACACAAAAATGAGAATTTTAAACCAACAAATATCATGATTCCTTCATCACAAAATCAACTTAAAATCTTCATGAAACCTGTTTGGGGCAGGCTAATCTGTTCGGAATACGGAGTATTAGTGAAAATTTTACATCTACCTTTTGAAAATACATGTAAGGAATGAACAACATGAATAGGAGTTCATTTTTTTTTCATTTTTTAAAATCACGGCATTCTAAATCACACACCAAGCTCAGCCCGAGTTGGAATTACGGGTACCAGAAAATTTCCAAATGGAGAGTCGAATATCCTGTAATTGGCAGTGCAATGCTGTGCCTGTGCTACTGCCAAGTTCCTGGCCTGTTGTATCTTGAGATTGATGCTGCTAGGCTGTGCGGCATGAAGAACCTGCGCGCAACCAGATTACATCCTTGAAATGCCTCATTTTAATTCAAATTCACTACTCCCAGCCTCGAAAGAACAAAAACAATCTTATTTTGAAGCGGCAAAGTTTCTCTTCCCGTCCATGACTAAATTTGTGGTTGAAAAACATGAAATGTTCATCACATGATTGTGTATGTTACAAGTGTTTAGAGTGACATGAATATGACTTGTTTTTAACCACAAATTTAGAACGGGGGAAACTTTACGCTTTTCAAGGACTCTCTTACCATCATCTCCGATGGAGCCAAAATTTTACCATTTTTTGGCTTTGGGGTGTGATGGAATAAATCAAAATGGATCTCTAAACTGTCTGTGCTTCTTTAATTAATGAAGTAGCACTTAGTCAAGCAATGCAACTTTCGACATTGAGCCGGAGGTCTCTTTGGAAACAGTCTCTCTACTTTCGAGTAGGAGTAAGATATGCGTACACACACCCTCTCCAGACCCTACTCTTGTGGGATTTAACTGGATTGTTGTTGTTGTTGTTGTCTTTCCCCCATAAGAAATCGTGTTGTAAGAATGCTATTTCAATTAAAAACGTGTTTTGAACAACTTAGTAAAATAGAACTCCTTTTTTAAGGAGGGGGATAGTAGTTAGACAAAGTGAAAAGAACATAAGAGATACATACAGTTGGTTTATCCCTAGATGTTGAAGTTATGTCCTCTGATGGAAAGAGTATAGGCCTGCAGCAAAAATAGACATAAATCTCCATAAATAATAAAAGAACTTCACAGAGCTCCGAACATCTGATTCAAACACTGCCAAGTTGATGGCGTTTAAAGTAAATCAAATGTTTAATTCCAAAGCTACGCTTGGCTATAAATGAATTACAAAAATTAATAAGATTAGGCCGCAGCTAGTTCCTTACGGGATTAAGTTTAATTCCAGAAAAACAGTGTCAAATATTCAATACCAATCACCATGCTAAAAGTCTCCAACAGCACAAGGTAAGGAATCATAAATTGTCTCATAAACCTCTGTTTGTTTAGCTGTTTTAAAACTTGTGTGCCCCTTTGTTTGCATAATCCTTATTTGACAAAAGAACAAAACCCAATATAACCCTAACGTTTGTTTAGGATCTAAGGGCTCCAGATGCAAGTAGCCTACCCATGCAAAACAAACCGAGGGGTTTTTTCCATTAGATAGACCCTAATGCATTGTTGCATTTACATTGAAAAAACCTAATATTGTGTAGAAAGTAAGAAGCAAAGGAAGTTTAATGTGTCATTTTATTTAGTTTATTATTTACCAAAACCTAAAATATTGTGAGTAACGTCCCTTTTAGCTCTTTTGGCAATGAACAAAACATAATCACTCAAATTTATTCATATTCCAATTTGAAAAAAGAAGTGGAGCTTTTGGTAGAGGTGGGAAGCAGTCTCACCATCTAAATTGAATTTTATCATATTAGGATATCATCAGATGAATTAAATCATTTGACAAGGTAGCATGAATCCAAGCCAATAACATCTGTATATTTTAAAAGGGAAATGAGCCATGTTAGAATGCTGAAAACAGTTCTTTATAATCTTGGTTTCCCGAAAACGACATTAACAGTAAAATCTGTGTGGTCATATTTTAGTTTCTTTGTGCTCAAGTGTGGTGTGGCGTCTTCATCCTTTAAGGCACGTCCTTCAGAACAGCAGCAATTTGTTCTTCCATACGGTGCTCCAGAAACACTTCTTTTACCTGCTCGTAGCCTTTCTTACCCATTGTACGCCTTCTATCAACATGAGAGGCAAGGTTGACTATATTTCTTGCAAAGAGGCTCTATCCCATCTTTTCCAGCTGTTCCCAACATATTCAGTTGAAAAGCCATGGCTTCCATGGTAATCCTACCAAAACGTTCCTCCTCGTAAATTTTGCAACAGATAGAGTCTTATTGACAAAACGAGCGTAATTCTTGATCTTCTTTATGTTGTTCAAAGTTCTTAAGCTCTATTTCAAGTTTTCTTTGACTCGTCATATCACTTCCTACAACAACAGCAAGGGCAAAAAGCAATTGCATCTTCTTATGTTGAATTAGTTGCAAGCTCCCATAAAAGGAATGCAAAAACAAGTCTTTACCCTTGCCATGAGAAGCACTGTTTATGAGAGAAAATAGTATTCCCAAAGTCTGGATTTAGTTGTCCACTTTCCTTTTAAAAAATTAAGAAATGAGTTTAAAATGCCATATAAGTCATTCAAATGGCTTTGTCGCTTCCATATCTCTAGACTATTTGAGACAAGTCATCATAACTACTATATTGAATAAGGAAAGTGGACAACTAATTCTGGACAAACGGAAAGAAGAAAGTGGACAGAGGGAGTATATCTTCATTTCGAACTCCCAGTGACTCGCAAATATGTTCTCGCAAAATCCTTTTTACAACACTGTCTTCAGCAACTTCCATTAGCTCCTTGCTATTTCCAAGGTGAACAACATAACTTTTAGGCACTTTGATCCTTAGGGACAATGTTGTTCTGTTCTTATGGTATCTTGATGTTTTATGTGAAAGACTCCAGATTTACATAGTCTAGACTCCAGATTGAAGTAGTGCCCTCCCATTTCATGGATCCACCTCAGAACATTGGGGAGGACACAAGGAATATCATCCTTGGCAGGCTTTTACAGAAGCTGGCTCCGGCAAGGATGTGCAGTACCACAGTGTGCATGCATATTTGACTTCACTAGTTCACTGCGGATACACCCTCCCCAAACCCTACTTTCTGTGGGATTTTACCGGGTTTGTTGTGGTAGTTGAGCATATGATTTAAATTCATCCTGCCCATTATCAATCATATGATTTGGACTCACCAGCTAACATTTATCAAAGAGGGTCGGCTATCTTCAATTTATTCTTATTACTTGCTACTCCGTATATTACTCATTTTTACAAGAATCTAGATATATTCAAGAATCCAGATCAGATTAATCCGAAACAACTTTTAACTTTAACTGGAATGAGATCGGACCTTAATAAATTCAGATAAGAATTAATTAGATCAGACGAATAGAACAAGCTCTAAACCCCTGCGGCATCTAACCAATCAAGAGTATTATCAAGTATCAGGCAGGCAGTTAATCAAATACTCTGTAGAAATCTACATTGCACCTACATCTGATTACAATATATTGCATTAAGAATAAATGTCAACAAACGTTTCGAGTAAAGTACTAATTTTTTATAACAATAATCAAAAGATATCATCTTCCCGGCACGCTTTGAATTGTTAAAAACCAATGCACAGGCAAACCATAAAGGCAAGCATAAGAAAGTACAAATTTGAGTAAAAATTACACCGTATTGTATAGTGATAATTATTACTCCGTATGAATATCTTTCCAGTCATAAAAAAAAATTACTAGGGAATGATTACCTGCGAGTGCTTTCACATTCTATCTTCCTCCGCTTCGGTTCAGAAGCCATGGCACGGTCGTAGGCGGCGGCGATATCCTCCCTGCAAGTCTGCAACAAATTCCCGCTTTTCCCTTCCCGAAATACGGAGTAAAATTGAAACCAAGGGTATTACTCCGTAGTAGTCCGTACTAGCTAAATTCACTCTTTAAAATTTCCCTTAACATAGAAGGAGCATCAAATTTATAAGAATGAGATGAATAAAAGGTCATAAAATTATGATTTGTAAATTTCATTAAGAGAATAAAATAGTATAGAATATGGAGTAATTAAGAAGTATAATTTATACTTTTAAGTTTATGAATTTTGTGGTCATGTTGATTGTGACTTTAGCATTTTTCTTTAGTAAATTTGGTTTTAAAAGAGTGTTTTTGTCATTTCGAAAGTGGATTTAGTTCCACCTTGTAAACAAATATCGTGTTTACGGAGTACTCTATTTATCTTTTTGGAAGAAAATATCATTATCAGAGTAAGGATTATATATATTCGTGCGATTAGGAATATGTACAATGGCTACAACGAGCATGGGAAATTAAAGTGGGGTAACAAAGAAATTTCTTTTGGGTGTAGGATTAGACCAAGCATCATCGTTAAGTCAATATCTTTTTAGATTAGTATTGAACATTCTTACTGAGCATCATAGGTGGCCCGGAGGGTATGTAAAGTGATTAACTACACAAGACTCCTAAAATTTTAGGGCTCCATATTTTAAAATACGTATTATTCTAATTATTTGTTCGGCCCGATTCCATGCCCACTGGAATCCAGTGGCCATGGAACCGTGCCGTTATTTGTTATGTTTAAATTTAATACGATAAGTAAAAAAGACTTTAATATCTTGGTTGTATCATTCAATACAATGGAGAAATAGCATATGATGTTAACTACATGGTTCAAGTCAGTTGGTCAAAATGGCAGTGCTTCGAGCTTTAAAAAGTACCTTTAAAATCTAAAGAAAAAAAATTTACCGTACTACAATTAGACCAGTTATATCGTATGAAACAAAGTGTTGGGCAGCAAAAGGTAAACGCAACACAAGGTTAGCATGGCGGGAACGAAAATGATTCATTAGGTTAGCATTCATACACATATGATTCATTGGGTGAGCGTTCATTTCTAGCAATCAAATTTATATTTTGACTTCACAAATTAAATAAAATAAATAAATTTCAAGTCTTGTTTGGACAAGAAAAATTAATTATAAATAATACTATAAAAAATGAGAATATGAAATTTACTTCAAAATGAAAAAAAAAAGTGTAAACATGACACTTTGGTGATTCTACTAAGAGTAAGATCTCTTTGATTATTTTATGTGCAGTCCAATATTTTTCAAATAAAAAAACACTAATAAATATAGGTTTACTAAAATACAGAATAAGCGTTATAGAGAATTTGAAACGTGTCATTTTCCATTGCCAAACGTCTCTATATATAAGGCGAGAATAGAGTTTACAGTTGAAGCACAATGGGCCCACGATACATGAACTACAAAGTACATACCATAATACATACGGAGTATTATATTGACACGATAGCACACAATTTGCAGTTCTCTTTAACAAAACAAGTATATTTTGGAAGTGAGAGGTCCAAAGGAAGTTAGTTAGAGAAATCTCGTTCTGTGTGTATGTGTATAAAACATGATTTTTCCATATACGAATATTTAATAAAGTTCCCCTTATTTATTCCTCTTTAAATTCATCTTTCTTATAGGAGATCAAATTCATAAATACATTTTAACATATATGTATATGACCTCGTGCAAATAAAAACAATATATACTCCATCCTTTCTAATTGATTCTTGACAGTGAAAGAATCATGGAGTGTAAAGCATGTAAAATTTTGATGCCAACTTTCCCAGTTTGCCCCTAATAATACATTTTTCCACCTCAAATGACAAAGCTATGTGAAACTTAAGGGCACAAAAACTAAATATTAATGTACAGATTTTTTTTATGAACACATGAGAATTGAAATATGAATAAATATGTACACTAAACTATAGTAAGAAGTGTTCCTTTACTTCCAAACCTTAATCGCGCCATCTCTACTGCTCGATATCAGGAGTCTCTGGTTCAATTTCACAGAACCCAAAGAGAGGATAGAGTCGCGGTGACAACCAGCAGAATCCGTGGTAGCGGCTGACAAAATCGCCTTAGCAGTTACCCTAGATGCCAAGGGTCGTCTTTTGGCCTCCTGTTCGGCAAAACGAAAGCATATAAGTAAAAGTAAACATGCCACATCTAAAAGCAATAATAGTGAAGCGCACCCTCCGTCCCAAATTAAATTGCATGTTTCGATTTACAATGTTTGGCTGAAGTCGTTTTCAATTTAATTTATTTGAGACTCGGGGTGAAATTAAAAATTAAAATTTGCCTATTTAAAAACTACATCAATAGTTCTGCGAGCAAGAGGTGAGATGAGTGTTATTTTATCAAATGAGTAACAAAAATAGGTAAAGAAAGTGAATGAAGTTTGACATGTAAGTAAATAGACAACTTAATTCGGGACATAGGGACCTCCGATCCTAAACAATTTGTAGGGTTTGACTTGCACATAGATCAAGAATAAAAGTGAAGGAGTGTAGAGAGTTATCTAAAGAAGAGAATGAAATAGGTTGTACTGATGGAAAAGCAAAACAAAGATAAATAGAAAACCTGATATTAAAGAGGGAATTTCCAAGAAAAGGTGTGTGAAGTAATTTGGAACGTCCAAACAAGGAAAGTATGTGAAGTAACAAAGAACGGAATATAATTGCATAAGCGAAATCCTCAACCTTCTTTGAATAATACTCCCTTTGCCTCGGAATGCATCTCATTTTGTTTTCCATTTTGGTTTGTCATGTCACATACCATATTTGGTCATGTGTGTGTGGTTCAAAACCATCCGTACTTTACGCATTCCATATAAATCCAAATTAAACTTTTTATTAACTTGTGCTCCATTTTCCATTGTCCCAAACTTGGTTGGAGAGGGAGGACTTAATGAAATCATAAAGAAACAAACAACAACAGCCCAGGTGGATGGATCCCACAAGAATAGCGTCAAGAGAGGGAGTGTGTAACCTTGCCTTTACTTGAAAGTAGAGAGGCTGTTTCCAAGAGATCCCCAGCTCAAACAACACATAAAAAAGATCACAGGAGATGCAAAAGCAGACAAAGTGTAGATAAAGCACACAGTGCACACAAAGGTAAAGAACAAACTAAAGTTAACGATGGAAAAGTATACGCAAGCAAAGGCAAAGAACAAACTAAAGTTTACGAGGGAAAGTACTGCAATCAGAGAGCAAAAACTAAAAATAAAAGAAGATGATAGATTTATTTTAAATACCTGTACAACTTGAACACCAAAGCTAGATTTCACCTCATAAAAATCATTATTTGGAACCCCCTTCATAGATGGTCCACAGACACAATACGTTCGTTCCGGGCTGGAAATGTGAGGTAAATAAATTGAGAAAACCAACAAAAGAACATTGGCATTAGCACTGTAGCAGAGGTAGAGAAATCTATCAAACCTGCAATGGTCCCATCGACGTATTTTTAAGTCAGTACCCCCTGTTAACAAATCACCACCAGGTAATGGAAGCAGAGCACGAATTCCAGGAAGGCGAGGAGGAGATTCATTCAACTCTTCAACTCTATACTTAGAATTTGGATTTCTTCTTTTATCCTGTTTAGAAGTAGTAGCTTTGCTGGAGAGTTTTGCCAGAGCCCAGGGCAAGTCAGGGTTTTCAGATTCGCTCTCATTACTTGCCACCCGCAATACCTACCAAACATATTGTGTTAGCACTTTGCACATGCTGAGAACTAGGGAAAATATTATATCAAGTATCCTGTCAGGAATGAATTGGAAACACACACACACACACAGCCAAAGTACCTGGTGACAGCTCCCATTTTCTGCATTCCAGAGAGAGACTTCATTGCAACCCGCTGCAACATAAACAAGAGGCCTTGCAGCAGAAGTCGAGGAGGAACTTGGGGGAGGAACAAAAAGACACATATTCTCAATAGGGCAAGAGAGAGAATACTGCCATGAGTTGACAGGTATACAAAACCTGAGGTCCCAAAGTGTGAGCACACCCCTCGATGACCCAGTGACAAACCAATTTCCACAAGGAGCAGCGACAAGAGAAGACACATAACCCTCCTCAGGGTACACTTTTGTGTTCCATGCATTTGAGCTTGTTCTTGCATCCCATATATGGAGCCCGCAGTTTTGGGTACTGTATAGAATCATTTTGCAGGCCCCACCATCTGGTGAGTAATTCAATATGCTTAATATTGCACCCTCTCCAACAGTTTGTTTTTTGACATCAGCAATACCGGAGTATTTCTCAACAACATTACTGCCAAGTCCTCTAGAGATATAATCAACAGAGAACATGTGTATCGTTCCATCACAGGCTCCAATGACAACTTGAGCAGAGCCTTGGAGTACTGAAAGACACAACGCTCTGCTTCCCCCCAAGGAGTAAGTTAACCTTGACCTAAATGAGATGTCCTTCTCTAATCTTTTACAATCCCAAACCTTAACAGTGGAATCTTCAGATGCACTCACAAAAAAACTTTGGTCTGTTGAAATTGCAATATCATTAACAGCAGAACGGTGCTCCTGTAGGTGAGCAACTAAGACTCCACGAGGCTTCCACCCAGAATCTGGAACGGCTGATATTCGAGCAAAAGATGGCAACTCTGTTCCATCAGTTGCAGTCAAGTGGTGGTGATCTTCCATGGTAAGGGGGCTCCCTTTTTTTGTGGCAGATATATCAAGATCTTGAAACTTGCTTTCAATATATGGCACTTGGTCAGCTTCCCTGTCCTCCACTTCATGTACAACCCTCCGCAACTGAGTAGAGTTGTTACCAAAACTAATTGACCCTGAGACAAGCTTAGGTGCTGGAACTGAATTAGCCAAACTAAACGACTTGTTTACTGTATCCATCCAAGGCATAGATGATGAACCTAACCCCAAAGTAGTGTACGTTAATGACGAATCAGAGGCAGCAGGACCATTTCCGGCTGCTCGTTTGTTGTCAACTTTAAAGTAGTACAATGGTATTCCCTCCTTAGGTTTATCAATCAAGCAATTTATACTACTGACTTGTGGAGATACAAAGCCAGATAATTGCAATTTTTCTGATGGAAGCCGATCCTGGCTAGCCATTGTGCTAGAGGGATTTTGTATCAAGCTTCCTAAAGCTTTCAACTTAGTCTCATTATCATCACAATCAACAAAATTCAGTGATTTATCACTTCCGAAATTGTGACCTTCACATTCACGTTTTCTGTCACGCCAAAATGATGTCTGATCAAATTCGGCAGTATTTCTTTCAATTAAGTCCAGTGTTTCCCATTGTTTTGACTGTGATGACAAATTATACCATATCTTCCGTTGTCTGTCAAGCATGTCAGAACTTTTTGCATTTTCCAGAAGCTTGTAGTATATCTCTCTTGGAACAGGAGGCTTGAGACATGAGAGAAGAGATTTTTCTGAAGCTAGAGACGACGGTTGCCTACGGAGGAATGGCCGAATAACAGGGACGAGAAAAACATAAGAATCAACTGTCCCTAAGTTCTCACTGATGGACGCAATGAATGTGACAGCTGCCCTCCTTACCCATTGGCTAGGACAACAGAGCAATGGAAAAGCATGGTCTATCATATCAAGGAGGATTGCCTTCCGCAGAAAACCACTTTTGCAAAGAATTGTCAAGCAATCTAATGCATTTGCAATGACAGATTCAGTTGCATCGGTCAATGCCTGATCAATGTATGGCAAAAGATATTCCTCTACGCTTCTTTGGCCTACAAAAAAACAGACATATGTTATTTGCCCATAGAATACGGCCCTGAGCTGCTCATCTCGGTCATTTAGAAAAGCAGGAAGAACAGGCAGAAGGAAGTCATTGCTTTGTCTCTGGCCAAAAAACCAACAAAGGTTTCCAATATCTTGCAAGAGTGCTCTCCTGATATTTGGGGTTTGTTTTGGCCCCATGACCAATTCCTGAATGACATCCGCTATTGACTTTCTCAATTGCGCCAGCCGTGTGTCACTGTTAAGACCCGGTGATCGTCGAGATGAATCAGTAGATGACACTGATGTTTTCTGAGATAAATTCACTTCATTTAAAACCCCTGCTTCACTTAAACTAATTGAGTGAACAAGAAACCCATAAGCAGTTAAGGCTAGCTTAGATATGTTGCTTGCATAACAGATCCTCACACTTTCTTCAGGATCATCAGGAAGCATAGAAAGCATTGGAATAATATATTCTGGAAATATTTTGGCATCACTTGGAGGGAAATCTCGAACCAGAGGAAGGATATCACATAAAGTCTCTAATGCAGCGCATCGAACCACAGCTGCTGGATCTGGAAGCAAGGCAATGACATATGGCAGCACTCTTTGCAAACGGTCGTCATCATCAATATATAATGAACAAGACTTCAATAGAAGTATAGCCCCTCTCCTCAAAAAAGGCAACTTTATGTTGCGTAAACATGAGCACAGCATGGATGCAATCAAAACCATACCTTCACAGCTCAATACATCATCAGGCAAAGGTAAAAAAGGCATCCCAAAAGTGTCTGATTGATTGTCATAATTGGACATTAGAGAAGTAAGATCTTTCACGGTTATCTTCTTCAAGAATGGGTGGTGATTTCGCTTGAAAACATTTGAGACCGTCTGAAATAGCTCACTAGGAGACTGCATGCCACAATGCATCCGAGTTTCAGAATATGCAGCATTGGCAACATCTTCCAGCATTGGCTTAACAGCAGAACATATATTACTATTTCCTTGCAAGGCATAACTAGGTGCACTAGAAGTGAAGCATATACCAGATGAGTTCTCCCCATCCGGTGGCCCATTGCTCATCTGTTTGAGTATCTCTTGAAAAGATGTCTGGCATATTAAGACCTACAGAAGATATGCTGGTAACGGAACATGGAAGTATAAGCTGATCATGAGTATCAAAAGTCAATTGCATTAACTCTTACCCTTGCATCAGAATTTAGTGGATTCAACAAGCAATAGAAGTTGTGAAGAAACGGTGAGAAGTAACTTGGGAACACGAAACCTGCATGAGTCTGCAAGTAGCTTTCAGCTGAACAGCGTAACTCTGGGTCCAACTGAATCATGTGAAGGATCATCTTGCGGATACCTGAATCCGGAATCTGGATCAATAGATTTTAACTGTTTGAGGATAAGGGTTGATTAACTCATAAGAGAATCATGAGATGAGTAAACTCAGATGTCATGGCAATAAGCATAGAGAGTTGGAATGAAGAGCATGACCTTTTCTAAAAGTTGGTTAGGATCATATTGTCCTCTACGATAAGCAAGCAATTGTGACAGTTCAAATAAAGGCTGGCCTTCAAGGAAAAGCTCGGCAATAACACAACTGAAACAGGATGACCAAAGTTGAGATACTTAAAACTTTCTATAAAGCAACATAAAATTGAGCAAACTGCAAATGCACAAGGTAGAAAACTATTTTTAAAAAAGATAAATGATAATGATATTTTGCATTAGGAACAATAATACCAAAACTCCAGTAATTTCACTATAACAGAAATTGTGAAATAAGAATATAAAGCTAGGAACAAAGATTAACCCTTAGAAAAACTCATAACGGATTTGTAGGAAAATCAAGTGGTTGGAGGCGAGAGAGAATAGCCATAGATGTCCAAACGACAGCAAGACAATAACTTTGGTTGCATATTGGATTAGATACTTAGATTCTCTATCTGTCTCAAAAAGATTTGTCAGTTACTCAGTTTTACTCTCTGTCTCAAAAAGATTTGTCTATTTTCCTTTTTTGTCCGTCCCAAACTAATGTGTTGGTTTCCATGTATGGAAAAAAAAGTGGTTCATAGTTTCTCAATCCTCTACATAAATCTTAATCCCACAATTTTACTTTATTAAAAAGTGAACCTATTACGGACTACCCAGTCAAACTGGGGTCACTGGGCACATCTTCTTGGAACTAAAGGATTACTACATAGTATATATGCACACGAACATTCATTTTAAAGCATATTCCACAATACAAGCTATAAAAAACAATGCAATCAATCCTCTATAAAACAATCTCATTTGTCTGAGACGTTTTTGGATGTTATATGCCTATAAGAACATGTCGTTGCGTGCATATACCAGCATGATGTTATATGCACAAAACAACATGTCATTATTAATAAAGATTGACTAAAGCTCAATTTTCACTTTTTTCGTTTTGTAGATGTATTCTCTTAAGTTAATGGAAAATGTTTACAATCATAGTTTGCTTTCTAGATTCTAACTTCTTAGCAACGACAAAATGCTTGAACTCACAATTAATATTTTGTGTCCTAAGGAGTAAATGCAAAATAATAAATAGGTTATTCATATTTTAGGCCTTGGGGATTAAGCATGGAGTATTAAAGGGGATTCTTCATTCAGATAAAAGACAAGTGATATGTATTGAATTTGGCACAGCATGTATAGTATTTAATAAAGATACGATGATATAGAGAGTTACATGTAGATCTTGCTGTTATAGATAGAAAGTTCTTATAGAGGAATAAAAATACACATAAAAATTCATTCTATAAGACATGTAGATGTTATAGTAAAGTGATGTTATAGAGGATGGCTGTCATAGAAAAGGTAGACAGTTCGAACTAAAACACTGACTTAAAGTGAAGGACCTCACCCCACAGAAAAGATATCCATGGATGGCTTTAAAGGTGCATCTTGTGCAACATGCATCTCACCTCCATGCTCGTAGAATCTCTGAAAACCAATGCATATTAGCAGCTAAAACTCTTCCAACAAATTGTGTAGCAATCACTCCAATATCATGGTGTTATAAAAATCATTACGGGACCACCATTCACCTATTGGGGTAAGGGAGGAAGACATTTAGATAATGCATCCAATTCATTCATTCTGCATCCCAATGAGACTATTAATTCGTATTTGTATGGATCATGGGACACTTCGATAAACTATATCGCAAACAGGACTGAATGACCTTTGAATGCAGTAGCCGGGAAAAGCATAATTGCTTTTTTATCTTGATCATAATTCTTAATTTAAAGGGGCCCCGCTTGAGTAAAAAATTAACCTTTGAAGTTGATGACTAACATAGATCAAGATATCAAGTCATAGAATGTTGTCGCAGAAAAAAAAACATTAATCTAGTGGCATAGTATATAAAAAGAGGGGGAAATATAAAATAGAAAGTAACAAACCTCAGGTGCGAGGTAACATCGCCTCCTTCCACCAGTATCGAAGAAAAATGAGAAGTCAGAGGGATCATCATGTGGAATATATGTGGGTTTAAACGAAGCATAATCCGCAAGGTAAAGCCAATTCCAAGAAGTGACCAACACATTCTCGCATTTAATATCACCTAGATAAAAAAACATGAGATCTTTGAGGATAAACAAAAGCAAGAACAAAAAAGAAAGCCAATTCTGTATGCTAATGATCAATCTCACCATGGCAGACTCCACGTTCATGGCTCTGCTTAACAGCACATAACAACTGCAAAGAACATAAGTAAATGAAATGCCTATTCAAAAGAAACAAATTAGAGAGAAGTTGAAACAAGAAAAATACCTGGAAAGCTAGCCATTTCTTCTCAATGAGACTGAGGAAAGGCCGTGTGCTAAGACGATCATGAAGATTATTAAAAAAGTATTGCCTTAGCAAATAAGCAGCTTTATCTGTTTCCACCCAGAACTGTACCATGATAAGAAGACTGACATACAGCTTAGTATTATTAGGAGACACTTTCCTAGACCAAGAACTCCACAACTACAACAAACCCAGTAAAGTCCCACAAAAGTAGGGTATGAGGATGGAGGAAGTGTGTCCGCAGACCTTACCTCCATTGGGGGTCAAGAACACTAGATTATAAAAATAATTCTTCTATCATTCTCATTGCAACATTTAAAAGTTGTAAGGATAGGTACATTATCCATGGACCAAAAGAAGCCAATAAACTTAGTGCAAACCCTAAGAAAAATGAATAATGAATTCCCTCAGGCTAAAACAGCCATTCATGTTAATGATAATCAAAATAAGTAACAACAACAACAACAACCCAGTTGAATCCCACAAGAGTAGGGTCTGGGGAGGGTATGTGTACCCCTACTCGAAAGTAGAGAGACTGTTTCCAAATAGACCCCCGGCTCAACGTCGAAAGTTGCATTGATAGACTAACTGCTACTTCATTAATTAAAGAAGCGCAGACAGTTTAGAGATCCATTTTGCTTTATTCCATCACTCCAAAGCCAAAAAATAGTGAATTTTTGGCTCCATCGGAGATGATGGAAAAAATCAAAATAAGTAGCATAGCTTTAAAAAAAATCACTTATTGCTTGAGAACATAAACATTACTCCAATAGGATTCTCCTCCCAGATGGTAGTTGTGAAATTGGAAGAACATTTTTAGAAAAACAAAAACTCTTATCTTAAATAACTAAACTAAGTGTACTTAAGGTGTCAATGTTTTTAAGAGCTCCACAAACTTCAAATTATTTTTTGTTTGGCAGAATAGAGCACAGTAATTGAATTGTTTTTTGCACAAAAAAAATCAACCTGGAAAGGCCAAATATGGGGATGATCGATCCCATTGAAGATTTCCCCAATTCTGGAGAGGCTACGCTCATGCTCGCGCAAATCAATGGAGTCGCCTCTTTTGAAATACACCTTGACCAATACAAGCCCCTCGTCGTGCTTACAGAGAATTGATTTCAGAAACCGCCCACGGCCTAAGACCTCCTTCAGCACCAGGTTGTACGAGGACGGCAGGTCATGGAGATAGTACTCAGTCGCAGACGCTTGCGTTGTACGCGCAATTTTATTCCCCATTTTCTTGTTATATCTTCAGCTATGAGCATAGATTTAAGTTAGATTAGGGTTTTAGAATGAGTGGAGATGAAGGTTCATCGGACTGATCGGAGCGGGTGAAAGAAGAAAGAATGGAGCTTTGGCCTTGCGTGAAGATGGAAGACTCACCCTAAGCGCAAACACGGCACATGTCAGTTCTGGTTGAAAGGGAAGCCGTCGTCCATTATGCTCTTCTTTTTTTTTTTTGAAGAACATTATGCTCAAATTATGCTCAACAATTTTTAGAGAGTTACTACATGAATAAGTAACTAACTTCTATGTTTCAAAAAAAAAGTAACTAACTTCTATTTGCAAAAAAAAAAACTAACTTCTAATGTGATTGATATCACATCTAAGTACAATGCCTCATATTTAAGAGTATCAAATACGAAAGTAATTATATATTCTAAACAATTTCTTAATCTATAACATTTAAAGTATAGTCCAACACATTATTTTTTTCATGCAAAAGGAAAAGTGAAATGCGAAAGAATTGTGCAAAAAAGAAAAAGAAAACAAAAATTTTAAGTTTTTTTTCAATCTGTCATCTTTCTTTCATTGATAGTAGTCGGCGACTACTATTGTCACTCTGCCGAATTGCAGAGTTTTTCTTCGAATTAAATCATGTAAATTTTCCCTTTCACGGAAGAAGCCCTAATATTATGACATTTAAATCGAATGTCACATGAACGTGGTGTTGTTAGGGTGGGATTCCCATGACATTGGAACCCAATGTCATGGGATGACCCGGGACGCTCTGGTGTCCCGTTCCTAAAATTGACAATTCATATCCCCGCTAACCCCCTGGTAATTTGACTCCAAATTTAAAATCAACTTGTGGGGTGCAATTGTCGGGAGTAGGAGTGTGTGTTCAGGGCGGGGCGGGGTAGGAGGGTCTACCGGGAGAGTTAGGGGGGTAGGAATCGTGAATTTTACGAACGAGGCACCGGAGCGCCCCCGGGTCATCTCATGACATTGGAACCCAATGTCATGGGAACCTTGGTGAAAAAACTTAGTTTAATTTATACTTCATATTTTACAAACAAAAGAAAATGAATCATAACAAAATAATATTTCAAATATTTGTTAAATTTTGTTATATAAATCTACAAAAAATAAAATTCAAATAAATGATTATATAAATAAAAAATTATTTGTAATTCATCTACACTTGAACCAACTTTTCAAAATCAATTTATTTTTGAATGAAAAAAATATAAAAACATTGTTATTTTTATAACGTATTTGTGTATATGTTTGGTTATGGCTTTTTCGGTATGGGAAGTTACCTCGTACCGATCCTAAATACCAGACCGACTATTTTGTGCGGTGTGGTACGGTTCTTTTTCGATATTTTATTGGTTCGCTATTTTTCAGTTCGGTAATTTCAGATTTTTTTTTAGGAAATTTTAGGTTCAATAAGTACTCACCCCTCCTACCAATCTAAGAGCACTGACAGCGGCGTTCCAAGCCCATGCCATGCCACCTAGGATAAAAGATTCTCTTTCCTTGCGTGGAAGCAACACTCTTCCATGGAGTGCAAGGCTTGGGCGAGGCATCTAGCCCTTTTTTTTACTTTTCAATTTTTATTTGAGAAAGAATTTTTTTTGTAAAGTAATAGAACTATTTTTTATTATCTTCATCTCGCAATAGATTATACTTTTTTCCCTCAACTCTCGATATCTTTTGTTTATTTATATGTTTTCATTGATTATTTAATTAAAAAAATTTTGTCACATCTTTTTTTATAAAACTTTTGATGTAATTTTTTAATTTATAAGTTTTATTTTTAATTCTTATACTAATTTTTAAATGAAATGATTTTTAAAAATAGAGAGTTTTTGCATTGTAATTCTAAAATAAAAATCAAAGTTGAGATGAGGGAATAAATAAAAATATAGAGTAGATTATAAAAACATTTTTAATAATTAAAATATATATAAAAGATTATTTATTTGAGTAAATAGAAATATTTTCATGATAAAAATATATAAGTAAAATAATTTTTAATAATTCAAATATGGCAAAAATATGAAAAAAGTGATGAAAACAATGACTTGTCACTGCAAGGCATGCCACTCGTTGACTGGACTGTTTTTTATAGGTTGAAATGCTCCACTTCAGCACATTTTTGCCGTTAAATTTGCCCCGCATGGTACCAAAACTTGGTGCATTTCCCCTTTTAGTACCACTTGTTTTTTTTTCCAAAAATAGAACTAATTTGCACCTGATCTCCCTATTTTACCCTCTCTTATTTACGTCTAAATTTCACCTTCTTCTCCGATTCAATTTTCCGCCGCGCGCTGTCTTCTCCGTCTTTCTGCAAATCGATCATACTCTTCTCTCTCAAATCAATGTCTACTCAACCTCCTTCATATCATTGAATGTTGATGGCGAATGGAGTGATGATTCCTCCTTTCATTCTAAACGTAACTGTGAGTTGGAAATCAATTCTGAAAACTCTTTCGCATACCTAATTCACGCTGTTCGTGTAGCGATTGGTGACGATTGTGCGCAATATGATTTTCGATTTTCGTATTTGTTGCCAGTTTGCCCTCCTCCTGTTGTTATTGATGATGATTCAAGTTTTCGATTTTACTTGCAACTGAAATCCTTTTACAGAGATGCTATGATGTTGCCATTATGTGTTCAATTCTTCCCCAATTTGCTCAACGCAACATCAAATCCTGTTTTGCCTTTGATTTCACATGCTCAATCTTGTCCTCAGCCTCCATCGCCAATGTCTTTGAATTTCAGTTTAGATGACAATCATTCAATGCCTAATGGGGACATTGCTCTTGTCAATCATGTAAACACTGTTTCATTGATATCTGAATCTGGTCACCAGCCTCCGTGGTCAATGTCTTTGAATTTTAGTTTAGATGACAATAATTCAATGCCTACTGAGAATAATGTAGCGGCCAATGAAGAGAATACTGTCTCATTTATTGATAAATATCAGCTTCTAGTTCATTCTCCATCTGCTTTTCAACCTGCACCTGCATCTACTACTTCCACCTCATCATCAATGCCGTTTAGTATGGATGGGACAAGTTATGATTCAGAAGACACTGACTATTCCAGTGGCACTCATCCAGTGACATCTGATGAAGTATTGTATATGTCCCCAGATTTTGAGATCTTATCCCATTTCCACCCCACTACAATAGTTGTTGATGCAATATATGAGAGCAAGGAAGTGCTGGATTACCACTTAAAAATGTTGGCTATTAGCAACTATTTTCAATATAGAACGAGGAAATCCACAAAGAAAGTTTTACATGTTGTATGTGTAGATAGTAGCTGCTGCAAGTGGGCTGTCAGAGCTGTTAAAATGCCACGCGGTGAAATGTTTCAGATTCGCAGGTAGCGTTTCTACTCA